GTTACATGATGTTACCTGGTATTATCTGGTGTTACATGATGTCACCTGGAGTTACATGATGTTACCTCGTATTACCTGGTGTTACACGATGTTACCTGGTGTTACACAATGTTACCTGGTGTTACATGATGTTACCTGGAGTTACATGATGTTACCTGGTGTTACATGATGTTACTTGGTGTTACGTGATGTTACCTGGAGTTACATGATGTTACTTGGTGTTACATGATGTTACCTGGAGTTACTTGGTGTTACATGATGTTACCTGGAGTTACTTGGTGTTACATGATGTTACCTGGAGTTACTTGGTGTTACATGATGCTACCTGGTGTTACATGGCATTACCTTGTGTTACAGGAAATAACTGTTATAAATTTGTTTAGATTTTAGCTTTTAACTAGAGTTTTGCTACATTTATCCAACCTTTTTTTGCTTGTCACTCTCCTTTTACTACTATATATTTTATCTAACTTTTCGCTGCTATCAGACAGACTTCTGTTTAGCTTAAGCTAGCCCTTAGCTTTTTTTAGGTTGTGTTCTGCTTCGTTTTGCTTCAACAATTCAGTTTTTGCGAGTCATTAGTCACTCTTGAACATTTTTGTTGTTAGTGAATTTATATTGTTTTTCTTCTTTAAACTTTTTTTACTCGCTCCTTCTCCTTCCAGGTTTGTTACAGCCTTCGTCGACTCTCAGCTCTCCAGACCCAGAACCTTTACGTTGGTCCTCAGTGTCAGTCGGACTCGTCTTACTCTAAAGCTCCAGACATGAACCCGTTGTTCCCAGGAGCAGAAGCCAAACCGGACCCAATTAAAGGAGGTCTGCGAGTGACCAGTTTCTTCACCTACAACTGCCTCACTGTGAGTCTGAATGCAATCCAGAAAAATATTGTCTTAAAAATAAGGGTTTTAAGTTTTAGATTAGTTGTGTCTTTTGATTTTAATTTGTCTTCCTTCTTCTCTGTGATGGAGATTTGTATAAAAAATAAAACTTTAAATGATGATTTCGCACAGTTTTTACTAACTCAGTATTCAGATGCAGGTATAGGCTAAAACAGAACAAAATATTTAGGCAGGTAATAAAATATTTACTCACAAGATTTTCTGTGAAATGTGTGAATACTGGGAGCTGAGTAGCTTCACTGAAATGGCCTGAAGAAGCTGAAAGAAGCTGAAGCTGGGTTGTTGTTAAAACAAAAAGAAACACTTGCTAAAAACTAAAAGAAGCAAAAGGTTAGCAAAAACTAGCACAACAGTAGCTAAAAGCAACAAAATGGTAACAAAAAGCTAATGCTTGTGAAAAGAGAGGTAGAAGTGTGCACAGGCTAAATGCTAAAAGTAGCTAGCTAAATAATACAAATGGTTAGCTCAAAGATAAAAGCAGCAAAAGGCTAGCTGAAATAACAAATGTTAGCTAAAAGTGAAACGTACCAAAAGAATAGCTTAAAGATAAAAGAAGCAAAACAGATAAAAGTTGTGAAAAGGTAACAACTAAAAGCATAACGGTATCTAATATTAAAAGTAGCATATTTATTACTAAAAGCTAAATATAGCACCACGCTAGTTAAGAGCTGCATTTAACCCAAGAAGCAAAATACTAGCTAAAATTTAAAAGAAGTAAATTAGATAAAAGCTGCAGAAGGCAAGCTAGAAGTAGCAAGAAGTTAGCTAAAAGCTAAATATAAGAAAAAGCTAGGTCAAAGCTAAAAAAATATCATATGGAGACGAAAACAGACAGTATGCTGAAGTAAATAGACAAATGTTTTTAAGTAAATGAAGATTTAACATTTGATATAAAACATTTTTTCTTCTAAAAAATATAATTTTAGAGTAAAAGTATTCGACTTTTTCCAGTAAATAAAATCTTATGCTCAAACGATCAAACTTGGCAGTTCTGTGATGTGTTTTATGTCTTCTAAACCTTTTGCACTGAATGTTTTTGTGTCTGAGTTGACTTGATTCAAGGTAAACACAGCTAAAAAAACAGAAATGACCGTGACTCGTCAATTTCACACACAATGAGCTCAAATTTGGCATGGTAGCAGCTAGTCCAAGCGCTAACGGATCACAAACCTCTGCGATCTTCCAGTGATTGCTGGGCCTCTTATTTCATATCTGGACTGATAACACTCTGTTTGTTCTTGAACCTTTAATGTTGGCAGGACTCAAAGGATCTGTACAGCGAGTGTCTACGGACCTTCTGGAGCTGTCCTAACTGTGATCTCTACATGCCTCTGACTCCTCTGGAGCGCATGCACCACGAAGCTTCCTGCAGACCTGCTGGAGAACAGCAGCAGCAGGACAAGGGTCAGAGAACCCCGCTGTGGACGGTCAATACTCTACCGGTTACTTTAGAAGTTCAGAAGATGACGAGTTTGTTTCTTTGGGTTTCAGATTCGGAGGGAGGAAGAGCGGGCTCCTCCTCGGCGTCCTGTCTGACGAGGGTTTATCACTGTGACGTCTGTAACGAAGACCTGAAGCTCACCTCCACCGAGATCCTCAAACACAAGCGGCAGCACATGTATTCAGCCAAGTAGTCGATTACGTCATGAGGAGTCTCTGCTCACAAAACACTGGTTATCGCCCGTCGCCCTTTAAGGTGGACAGTCGTGTAACTACGTGTGTTTATCTGTTAGAAAAATATCTCGTAAACCATCAGAGAAATTTTAATGAAACTCAGAAAGAAGACTGCTACAACTTATAACCTGATTCAAGATGGCTGCCACAGCTAATCAACCTTAGCAATCACAAAAATGACCATAACTTGGTCAGTTTGACAGATTTGGAGCTAAAGTTGGTGGAGTAGTAGCAGATAGTCATCCCCAACGCATACTCCGAGAGCTAACTCCAGATCTATTGCTATGCCTTTCATGTCAACCCTGTTTGTTAGCAAAATATTTCATGAACCACTGGATGGATTCTAGTGAAACGTTCAGGAAATAATCGCAGGACTTGCAGCTGGTTGACTTTTGGAGCTGACCTGATTCAAGATGGCCGCCAAAGCCAGCAAGCGTTAACTCAGTCGGGTTTCAAAATATTGAGCTAAAATTCGATCTGCTAGTAGCTGAAAGGCGTTCTCAACACTCACCCCGAGACATTTTCGTTGTTAACGTCACCTTTGTTCTTTCACAGAGGTTTTATTTTGTTAACATCGTTTTGAATAAAAATGTATCTTTCAAACCTCCGAACGGCTTTTTAAATGACAAATATTTTGCTGTTAATTCCTTGCGGAGTATATTTCCTGACTTTTCCCCTGACTGTTGGATAAAAGCAGCACATGTGGAAGAGACACCAACACGAGTTTAAAATATAGAGTGAGGGTTTAATAATGATACAAACCCACGATATGTAACACCTCAAAGCAGCACATTGGCACAAAGTCAGAAGTAAGACAGCACAGAAGATAAAATCCTGTCTCAAAAATAATCAGAATAAATATCTCAATAAATAAATATCTCATTAAATACTTCCAAACTAATAAATACATACATGTGAAAATATGCACACCGTCAGAAACCGATAAAAACAATACAACTTAATACAGAGTTACTCAGAAATCATAAGTTATTGATCACTCAAATCAAAAGGCACATTTATTGAGATGTAAGAATGGGACCTGCAGCTGTGATCGAAGGACAGAACCGGACTCTGAGTCAGGAGTACTGGACCGTGCGCGATGGCTTTACGGGTTCTGAAGAGTCGCACCGTGGACGTTTGTGGGGACGGCAGTCTGAGACTGGGCTTCCTTTAGAACCCTCCTGTCCTCAAGTCTGAACAGATCTGGACTAAACCTAAAACCTGCACCGCGTGGAGAAGCTCCTGACAGGCCAGAATCTTTAACGCTGATTTTAATTTCACCTTTGAATTCAAACCTGGGATCGTTTTTATCATCGCCCGCAACCATGTTTTCACCTGTATGTTTGTCTGTGGCGTTAGCAAAATATCTCACTGACCACTTGCAATTTAAAGCTTCCTAAAGTATTCGTGGGGTTGTCGTCTAGAGGTTAACGTTTATCATCCCAATTCAACATGGCCGCCACAACTAATTTCACAGCTGTGCTAAGGTTTGGTGTGGTAGTAGCTGAGGGTCGTCCACACAACTTGCTCTGATTGCACGATGAATGTTTTCAAGGTTTGACCAGAATAACGTTTGTCAGCAGAAGATGATCTCAGTCTGAACTCTGGCCTGACTGGTGGCGGGCGACATGCATTCCTCCAACAACTGCTGGGCCGTCCATTTAAAGTAAGGAGCTCCACAGATTCTCCTAAACCTTTTAGACTTCCTGTGCTTTGTGCTGCGTACCAATAATTTTGCTCCTTTAAAAAAAACAAAAGGGAGTGTAAGTTTGATTAGACGTCAGAACAACAACAAATCATTGTCAGATGCACCTGTTGAGTTTTTAACACAGAAATCTAATCAGCCAATCGCAGCGGCGCGTTTAGGTGCGAAGCCGAGTCGCTGAAGTTCAAACCGAGCGTCGGAATGAAGACGAACACTGTTTCAAATGACCGAAGGTCACACGGTGGTTGGTCTTTGTTTCAGGAACTGCTGATCTGGGATTTTAACCCCGACCGTCTCCTCAGACTCATCAAACCATGTTTTTCTAATTGTTGTGTTTTGTTGCGTGAACTGCAGCCTCAGGTTCCTGAGGACGGACGTGGCTCTCGTCTTCTGCTGCTTCAGGGCGGTGCGTTCAGACACGGGGTTTTGGGTTGGAACGATTTATTTGAGCGACTGTCGGTGGTTAATCTGAACCGGGTCCTGCCGGAACAAGATCCGGGAACTCTCTCATTTTGAAGGTTAGGACGGTTGACAGAATCGGAGCTGCTCGGCTTGTTGTTACTTTCTACAATAGTAATTTCTATTCAACATTTATTTATACAGGTTGTTAGTCTCATTGAGCCTCGAGGACTCATTTACAAGAGAGACCTGTTTTTAATCAATTTAATAAAATGTTTAACATCTGGTTAAAATACACCGAAATGTAGGAAATGGCATCTCTTTTATTCCAAACTTTCTGGGGGAAGGATGCACAGACACCACAACCCCCGCTGGACCGCCTGCTATCTGTGTTCCAGCATCAGTCGGTTTACAAGTTAAGCCCTGGTGTTGCCCGTCTGTCGTCCTCCGACATCAACGAGGCCTTTTCAGACACACAACAGGAAGTTGTGGATGTTTTCTATTTTTTCGGAAGATGGTCATTTGTGAAAATCCCAGCAGTTCCAGCAACCACGTCACGTTTAAAGGGACTCGTTGCAAAGTCGTGAAGACTGGTCTAAAAGCAATTCATAAAATTACCACAAAAAAAAAAAAAATACCTGCAGTTTTTTCAATGTGTCGCCAAATTAAACGTTTGCAGCTGGATGTTTGTTTACCTACGTAAACTTCGGAAGCGACAGGAAATAAACCGTGGCGACGTCCGCTGAAGAGCCGTTTAAATGTTTCGCTTCATACTCAGATTTGTTCTTTAAAACAATCGGATAAAACGGTAAGTTTACGACGCTCTGCTCGATCCCCAATATTTACGATCTCACTTCCGTTGTGTTTAGCAGCAGATTCATCCTTAACCTCGTCTTCTCAGAGATCCCGGCGTATTTGTTCACCTACACAGACCTCAGCCAGTCTAACGGAGGTCAGACACGTGGCTCAAGCTTCCACGTGTTTCTTGGCTAATTTGGACGAGTGTTTTGTTTACATTGAGTGCGTACCCGCATACATCTGGAAAACTACCGGAGTAAACAGTTTCAAACGGCATCGTTTGATAAAGTTCACGATAACCGTTTTGTGTTTCGTCATTGGCGGTGAGTAAATTTAAATCCTCTTTTCTGATGGGGACGTCTAAATGTGTTGAATTGCTGCCACGTGATTGGCTGATTAGATATTTGTGTTGAGCGACGGCACATGAGGACCCAAAGGTGCCGGTGAGTTTGTACTAAAATGTAAGAAAAATATTTCAGGGCTGGTTTTTAAACTAAGCTGTAAATTTGTTTCATATTAAAACAAAATATTTAGAGAACACAAATTATTTTTTTTTGTGACCCAGCTACCTCGGATTTCTAATTTTATGGACGTTTTGGTATAACTTCATTTTTAATGGCAGCTTTTGCTTCGGTTTAAAGCTGCAGCCGTGGTTCTGTTTTCTCCAAACGTCAGCACATCTTGTGTTTTAGACCAGACGCAGTAACGCGCTACACTTTTCACTTCCAACACGTTTCCATTTCTGCTAAACTAACGACTGATACAAAACTACGCTCCGTTACATCAATCATTGCACTTCTTGTCTTCTTTTTGGTGGAATTTCCTTTAAATCGGGACTATTCATAAACTGCTCGGGGGGTCACAGTTACTGGAAGCCAAGAGCTCATGGGCATCCAGCGGTTATTCTCATTAAGTAAACTTGTTTTGCGATTTAAAATCTAGTTTTATTTAAAAATGAACTCATCGGTGGTCCGAACTGAGCCACCCTGGGCCTGATTTGGCCCCCGGACCGCAGGTTGAACAGCCCTGCTTTAAATCCTTCGACAGGTCGGTTTGTTTCGTCCCTCTGGGGAGCGTTTGGGTGTTTAAGGTAGGGTCGACTCAGAGGCCTCGGTTTAAGCACCTTGTGTGGTTCAAAAACTACAGAGATGAATGAGATGCTTTAATGAATAATATTAAAAATTCACAGAGATGGGTGGGGGGGTATGTGCAAAGTGAGGGTGTTTACCGCGTGACACGTTCTCCATTTTATTTTTTTTAGCAGAAAACAGAAGTTTGGTTACGAAGGACCATAATGGATCACAAGGAGACTTGAAGTCTTGGTGGGTGTCATTGCAGCTTCCCTTAACAACAATCGTCTCTTTGCATCTGTAAATGTTTCCCCCTCTGTGGGACGTTAACTAGAAGACAATACTTGTGGTTTCAGACGCTTTCTTTAAAGACTGCGCACGTGTGCTCGCTAGTTTCAACCCTCGTGCTTTTACTTCCTACGGTAACATCTGAGGTAAAATTAGAGGTAAAGGGTGACGTCTGTCCGTCTGACGGACGAACAGGCCGATACAAAAGCAAACTCCCCCGAGATCTCGTGCCTGTGAATACGTACGTGTGTGTGTGCCACTTGGGGATTCTGTCGATGTGTTTTACATTTAATAAAATATACCAATTAAAATTATAACAATCATATATATAAACATCTTTTGTTTTTTTTATTTTTTCTTCCTAAATTAAAAATCAAACAAAACAGACGTTTGAAACTCGTCGTCGTCGCCTCTGCCATCTTTCTGGGGCAACGTCGCTCTAAATCAACCGTCCGTCAGTGTGAAGGCTCCAGAGGACAGTCTGATCTGAGTGCACCTGCAGCAGGTGAGGAAGCCCCTCCCCCACCCCCAGGTTGAAAAGAGAAGGAGCTGAACGCAGTGGAAGGCTGTGGGGCTTCGGAGGGCCGTGTCGGAGGAGCTCTGGGGTCTGCTGAGAGCACCGTTCCTCCTAATGCTCCTGGTCCAGAGAACCCCTCCCTCCCCCTCGCCTGGCCTCATCGGACCGCCTTGTGCTTCCCTCCGCAGCAGCCACACCTCTCCCCGCACCGCAGGCAGGCGCGCAGAGGCAGGTAGCAGCACATGCAGGGCACGAAGAGCGACAGGGCCAGGAGGGCCAACCAGCGGGCGCAGCACAGGGGGTGCGGGTGGCCCCCCAAAGAGTCATCGCACGAACAAGGCTCCCAGAACTCCCCCTCAGAGTCCGACATGCAGTGGTAGAGCAGGCTCTCTGCGCACCACACACAGGTCCACTGGCGCAGGCAGTGCAGGGCCGGGTCCGGGGCGTCTCTGCAGCGGCCCCGCCCGTTTTCCGAAGCGCTGAAGACGGAGCGGCAGTACACGCAGCGTGACGAGCACGACGACGACCCCTGGGGGCAGGGGCTGTCGTCGTCGGGCGAGATGACCCCGGGGTCGCCGCCGCCGCTGGCCCCCCCTCCTCGCTTACGAGTCCGCGACCGGGACGCGGCCAGCGAGGTGTGGATGCAGCAGGGAGAGGGCGAGCCTTTGCCCGTCTCCTGAGGCGAGCCGGCACCTGAGGACACTCCTGACACGGCGTTGGGCATGGACATACAGGTGGGGGAGGACGAGGACAGGCGCTGGGAGGCTTTGCTGTCCAGGCTCACGGTCACCTCACAGCCAGCCGTCCCCACCCCGGCCAGCTCCTTCTCGAAGCGGACCACACACAGCTCCGACTTGTCCTGCAGGCTGCCCCCACCACCAACAACCACTCCCCCTGTCAGACCCCCAACCATAGTCCTCGTGGCCCCCGCTCGTCTGTAATCCTCATAACCCCGAGAACCCCACAGATCTTTACAGGGGTCCACGCTGCGAAGGTCTCCTTCCTCCAGCAGCGAAATGGTGGGGGACAGGGGGGACAGGGGGGACCGAGGAGACGAGGCCGGGGGACCCACGGGAGGAGTCGGCGGAGCAGGAGGGGGGGGCGGGGGTGCTGGGGGGTTCAACACAGTCGTCATTTGTGAGAGTGGGTGCTGTCCGGGCCTTGTGTGGATCTGTGGAGAGGGTGTAGGGTTACACAGTGAGTCGGGAACAACGTGTACTCTTTGCTCTGCTCGTGGAAGGCTTCACAAAAACTGAGCTACATCTCATCCTGGGGTCGTGTTTCTCAGTCCTGGTCCTCCGGGCCCACAACCCTGCAGGTTTTAGATGTTTCTCTGTGAACACACCTGCTTTCAGCTAACAGATCACCATATAGATGCACAGCTACACATCGTTTACAACTCCGCTTCCTAAAAATTGGCTAAAATGTCACCAAGTGTTTCCAAACCCTGGACCTCAGTACAAACAGGTTTCCAGGTTTAAGATGTTTATTCTTCTTCTTTCGGCTATTCCCTCTTTAGGGTACAGCGAGTCATCCTCCTCCATCTCACTTTGTTCTCATTCCCACAACCTCTTTGTCCACTCTAACTTCATCCATTCATCTCATCTTTGTCCTCTTTTGGTTTAAGATGTTTACCAGCCTAAAAACACCAGAGTTTAACTGATTAATCAAATACAAAAAAAACCCAAAAACATCTAAGTTAACAGTTTACATCAACATTTTCAGATTCTGGATCTCAAGTTTCAGTTTCCTGTAGGTTTTAATAAGATGTATGGATTTACACACCTGGTTTAAATTGATGACTCTGGAACATAAAAATCGTCTCAAACCTCAACCCACAGCAGTGATTCCCAGTCCTAGTCCTCCGTTCATCCAACATTCCTGTTTTAGAGGTTCCCTGATTTCAAACAGCTGCTTTGTATTGATTAATCCACCAGAAAAGGTTTTCATTTCAGCATAAAAGCAACTAAAATGTCGCTCTTTAGCATTTTTCCTAGTCCTATTGTATAGGCCACACATCAGTTTTAGATATTTTCCTGCTTCTGCACACCTTGTTTCATTTAACTGGTCAATATTAGACTCCTGCAGAACCTGATGAAGCACTTGAGGTAACTGATTTCCTGTGACAGATGTGCTGGAAACATGGAGGGCAGTGTGCCTCGAGGACCAGGCTTTAGAAACACTTAGGAATAAAGAGCGTCCTTGTCTTGATGCGTTTTGCTCATATTCTCACTGTGAAGTGTCACTGATGGACGTAGATCTGAAGTCTACCTGAGCAGGTGTGTGAGTCGTGACGCCATGGCTGGATCCAAAGCTGAACTCTTCGGGCCGCGCAAAACAGGTAGATGAGGACTCGCTTGTCACTATGGTGATGGGTTTGGGAAGCATCTCCTTTCTGCTGTTGGACGATGACTCACTTCCTGTATGAGACTGACAGCGGTCGGACGTCACCTCAGAAGTTAGAAGCATCAATGTCTGCATGAAGAAATGTTAAAAACTGCTCGGACACTCACAGCTTGTCCATCGTCCTCAGTGTCTGCTTCTTCTGGCGTGGAGGATGACGGGGAATCAGAGCCTTGAGAACAGGAGAATGGATTTCTTTACACTCGATGATTTTCTTTCAGGGCAGTGGTTCTTTTTTTTTTTTTTTAACAAACGAACAAACTCATACTACAGATTTTGGATAGACTGAGGAAACAAACTGGCCAATCTACTTGGACACCTAACCCTCCAGACCTAACAATCTTCTTTATCGCAACGTTAACCCTTCAACAAGTTATTTAAAGGAAGCACATCAAGGCCTGATCATCTGTGGCTGAATCTAGGTCTGTCGCGATAAACAATTAATCAATTAATCGCATGATAAATGAAAATTATCCACCTCGTTTTCATTAATCGGCTTTATCGTTTCTTCGTGTCTCTTTCTACTGAAGACACTGGATGATAAAAGGCTCAACTCTGGTGTTCTTCACTGACCCCTCCCTTTCTCTTTTCTCTTTAAAATCAGTTTTAATCGTCCAAAATCACGTTTTTGGATCGTTAAAAGCAGCTAAGCTACGAGCTAAGCTAACAGGCCGACCTCAGGAAAAAACCTCCGTCTTGTCGAAGCTCCAAAATTCACGGTTGAAACCCGTGTCTTCGTCTAAAAAGTTGTTTTTCTCAGCAAAAAGAATCTGAGAACTTGTTTACTGATTTTTTATTAAAAGCTTTGTGTGACAAACGCTTTGCTAAAGAGCTCAAACTACACCGAGCGTCTGCCATTTGAGAACCAAAAAAAAACAGGAACGAGAGACAGCCCATGTCATGTCAAGGTGCCTCCCTCCCATTTTCTTAAAAAGACACGCTGCACACTCCCTCACTATCCATCCTTCAGTTCAAACAGTCTTATACTGTCAAACAGTGGTAAAAAACGTACTACACACAAAAATTTACCAACATTTCTTCTTAAATTTGACAATATTTAATATTAAAAATATATAATATTATTGTCAAATTTCAAACAATATTATCGTTTATCGCAATAATTTCTGAGACAATCGCTCAGCAAAATTAGTTATCGCGACAGGCCTAGCTGAATCTTCTTTGGTTGACGGGTTTCAGTCGTAATGGCTGAAAGGTCATGAGGAATCATTGTCCACTTTTGAGGATGTGTCCCAAAACTCTAGAAGATGGTTTGATTACTAACTTAATGCATTTGTCAGTCTTCAAATTTTACCCAGCAAACCAAGTATATGAGCTGTAGATTGATGTGAACCAGCCTGTGTCTATCTTTGACGTCCTACACTATTTTAGATCACTGAACTGACTCAAGGGGAGCCATGGAGATGAGAAAAAGATGCCAAACCCAGACTTCATGGTGTGGTTGAAGATGTGATGGTTCAGTGCTTTCATTGCTGAGAAAAGCAACAGTTCATGCACTGTGGTCTTGTTTGCATCACAATGACTGAATACATTTTGAGAGAGCTTGAATCAAATGTCTTCAGTGTTTTGTACATTGTATTGCCAACAAGTCCGAGGAGGCTTCACTGGTGGGGTTAACCATAGTCCAGTCAAGCTTCTACAGGGGTTCTTAAAGTATTTCCCATCTTTTCAAGTTTTTTACAGTTCAAGTCAAAATTTTACGTAACTTGAACCACTCATTTTTTGGACTACTTTTTTTTTTTTGCACTATAACAGTTAATTACCTTCTTAAATAACTTGTTAATAGTTTATACCAAAACGAGTTCTGAGTAACACCGGAGAGATTTTGAGTACCACCACTGGTATTGGTTGAAAACCAATGAAATGCATTTCCGGGTTGTGTACCTCTGTCGAGCTTGTCTATGACAGTCTGTAGCCCTTTTTCAAAGGAGATGGCGTCGGCAGGACTCTGGAATGTAAGGCCAAACTTTCGATCTTCTACTCTCCAGTGATGGAAGATGGGATTCACCTTGTTGTACACTAATCCCTTCTGCACCACACACTCCAGCACCGGCTGCAGACACAAACAGTTTTCCAGGTAACTAACAACAATCAAAAAAAGCAAGCACCCCGACATTAACGCATACAGTCTTTGGGTGGTGTTGACCTAGGGTTGTCAACTTTCAGAAACAAAGAACACCAGAGGGGAGTGTTCAGATGTGTTGTGTAGGTCAATGATTCTCAAAGCTTTCACACGTATATTGCTAATGAGCCATTTAACAATGAGCCTTGTTATCTATTGTGATATTTTTATTTCAGTTAAGGCTAAAACCACTATTGACAATCATTCTTAGGTTGGTTTGATCCCTGTTGACGCTTTCAAGACCCCACGTTTAGTTTTTCATAGGCCACAACTTTGGAGAACCATTGGTCTAGATCTGTGCTTCCCAAAGTTGGGGTCAGGACTCTGCTATGGGTTTCAAAATATTAAGTTTGGGATCTTACAAAGATTTTCAGAAAGAAAAAATAATTTGTTAATAGGATTTTATTTTAACAGCCCTAAATGCTACAAGAGATGAAACATGTTGGTGTAACTACAAACCACATTCCAAAAAAGTTGGGACACTAAACAAATTGTGAATTAAAAACTGAATGTAATGATGTGGAGATGGCAAATGTCAATATTTTATTTGTAAATAACATAGATGACAGATCAAAAGTTTAATCTGAGTAAATGTAACATTTTAAAGGAAAAATATGTTGATTCAAAATTTCACAATGTCAACAAATCCCAAAAAAGTTGGGACAAGTAGCAATAAGTGGCTGGAAAAAGGAAATTGAGCATATAACGAACAGCTGGAAGACCAATTAACACTAATTAGGTCAATTGACAACATGATTGGGTATAAAAAGAGCTTCTCAGAGTGTCAGTGTCTCTCAGAAGCCAAGATGGTAAGAGGATCACCAATTCCACCATTGCTGCACAGAAAGATAGTGCAGCAATACCAGAATGGTGTTACCCAGCATAAAATAGCAAAGACTTAAGTTATCATCATCAACCGTGCATAACATCATCAAAAGATTCAGAGAATCTGGAACAATCGCTTTGCGTAAGGGTCAAGGCCGTAAAACTCTACTGGATGCTCGTGATCTCAGGGCCCTTAAACGTCACTGCACCTCAAACAGGAATGCCACTGTCAAGGAAATAACAGAATGGGCTCAGGAATACTTCCAGAAAGCATTGTCAGTGAACACAATCCACCGTGCCATCCGCTGTTGCCAGCTGAAACTCTACAGTGCAAAGAGGAAGCCATTTCTAAGCAAGCTCCACAAGCTCAGACGTTTGCACTGGGCCAGGGGTCATTTAAAATGGAGTGTGGCAAAATGGAAGACTGTTCTGTGGTCAGATGAGTCACGATTTTAAGTTCTTTATGGAACACTGGGACGCCATGTCATCCGGACCAGAGAGGACAAGGATAGCCCAAGTTGTTATCAACGCTCCGTTCAGATGCCTGCATCACTGATGGTATGGGGTTGCATGAGTGCTTGTGGCATGGGCAGCTTGCATGTCTGGAAAGGCACCATTAACGCAGAGAACTATGTTCAGGTTCTAGAACAACATATGCTCCCATCTAGACGTCATCTCTTTCAGGGAAGACCCTGCATTTTTCAACACAATACTGCCAGACCACATTCTGCAGCAATCACAACATCATGGCTACGTAGGAGAAGGATCCGGGTACTGAAATGGCCAGCCTGCAGTCCAGATCTTTCACCTATAGAGAACATTCGGCGCATCATAAAGAGGAAGGTGCGACAAAGAAGGCCCAAGACGATTGAACAGTTAGAGGCCTGTATTAGACATGAAGGGGAGAGCATTCCTATTTCTAAACTTGAGAAACTGGTCTCCTCTGTCCCCAGACGTCTGTTGAGTGTTGTAAGAAGAAGGGGGGGATGCCACACAGTGGTAAAAATGGACTTGTCCCAACTTTTTTGGGATTTGTTGACGCCATGAAATTTGGAAACAACATATTTTTCCCTTAAAATGATACATTCTCTCAGTTTAAACTTTTGATCTGTGATTTGTGTTCTATTCTGAATAAAATATTAGATGTTGGCACCTCCACATCATTGCATTCAGTTTTTATTCACAATTTGTTTAGTGTCCCAACTTTTTTGGAATCCGGTTTGTAAAAACAGTCTAATGATGATTGAGGGCATTAAGCCCTTATTTAATTGGCCTAGTTGCAATGTTAGCATTTTTAAACCAACCATCATTGGGGTCACACATTTCTGCTGCTGTTATTTCATTTTGTGGGTCAGAAACGGAAAGGTTGGGAAACCATTAGTCTAGACCACCAGCTGTGCCTAATCTTGGTCCACGTGGGCCACTGTCCTGCATGTTTTAGATGTTTCCCATCTTCAGTTTTGCAGAAGCTTGTCATTCACTCATTCATTCAAATCAGGTGTGTCAACAGAGAGGAACGTCTAAAACATGCAGAATAGTGGTCCTCAAGGACCAGGACCGGGCACCACTGGTCCAGACAACACTTGGTTGTGAAGGTAAATACAACCATTCTGACCATTTACCAGAAAAACAAATGCAGTCCCGTGTAAGATGAAACAGAAACATACATTAGTAAAATTTGTATTGGGGGGGACGGGAATTTAGAGGTAAATTATTACAACAAAACATGTATAAACTATATTCTCACGTTATTACAATATAAATATTTTGCTGACACGATGTGAAATTATTGTTTTTTGTTTTTGTTTTTGGTAGCTAACTTTGCTTTTTATTCCCGTGCACGTATTCTACAGCGGCTTCTATTGGTCGTAGGTGACGTGACTCATGACTTTCGATCAATAAGTGATTTTCTGTAGTGATGCCTTAATTAATAAACAGTGTACGAGAGAGAGAACAACGGAGGCTCTATGAAGTCATGGGGAGTAGGGGTGCAGCGGGTGCTGCAGCACCCCCTTGTAAACGCAGGAAGACGTGCATACCTGTCCAGATTCATAGATATTAATTTAACAAATACATTAAAATTCTTAGTGCTGCATATGAGTAAATTCCAATAACATTTATAATATTTTTATTTTTATATATGAGGTCTCAGCAGTGATATAAAGTTGTGTGCAAAATTTTACAGCAGTTTAACCCTCCTGCTACCTTTGGGTCAAAATGACCCATGAGGCCTTGCAGGTCAGTTTGATCCAGGGGCAGCAGGAGGGTTGCAATTTTATAGATATCACTCCAACATAAATAAAAAACATAATTTTGAAGATTTTTTTTATTTATTTATTTTAGGGCAGACGTTTTGTCGATGTTTCCTATCTACCACTGAGTCTTAAAAGCATGGATCAAAGTTTATTGATCTAATCGGGAATGCTTTATTTAAAGTTCTGTTACGGGGCGATTACAGATATTGAGGGACCGTTGGCAACCCTGTTGTTGACGGCAACGTGGCACCAAAGACAACCGTAACACACGCACACACTCACTGCTCGATCTCGCAGCCGCTCTCCTCGTACGATGTATTCTCTCCGCCCCTTTCCATCGTGGCTCCGCCCCTTGCATATGACCACGTGACTGAGGCCGCCGCCTCCAAGGGGCACCCAACCGCCACTGGAGTCATCACGCGTCATCACCACGGCACGAACACGCACACTGTGCCAGGAAGAAATTGAAGAGAAAGATGGGATTAAAACACATGCAGTTATTCAGCTGAGAGGAGGGCTTCAAAAGGACGGAGACAGAGGAGGGTCATACGTAACATTAGGGCGTCACACCAAAACCAGTAGCTGTAACTGGAGTTTTATTCTGCTGATGTCTTATAGGAAAAACTGCAGTACAGACGTTACAAAGTCACCTCCTGATAATGTGCACAATCACCATTAAACTTGTTGAGTCTTTTTTTCTACTACGGAGTATGTCTTTTGTGGAAATCAGTTTGTTTGGTGTTTCCTCAGATTGAAGAAGTCCTTTGGATGAAGGATGAAACGTCTCAACAAAAAAATAAGCCATCCAGATTACCTGACTGAACATTGTTGGATTTTTACCTGGATTATTGAGCATGAACTTTAGTGTTATTGAAGCTTAATTTATATTTGTATCTATAAAAAATAGTAACCATAAAACCTCCAGAGATCCTTGTCTTCACATGACGTCATTAACTGAATTAGACTTTTTTTCATTCAACCTTTATTTATACAGGTTAATCCCATTGAGCCTCGGGGACTCATTTACAAGAGAGACCTGATTTTAATAAAGATCATGACAACCGTGGATAACAATGACAACAATAGATAATTATAAAAGATGCGTACAAATTTAATTTAATTTTTTACAAGTTAAAATAAAATGGCAACCAAAAGGACTATCAAAAGGAAATGTAACAAAAAACAGCTAGATTATAAGGCGGTGTAGAAAACTAAAAACAGGAACATGTGTGCATCGGTTCCAGGAACTTAACAGATATTTGAAGCCACTTAGAGAGGTCAAGGTCGAGAGCTTCAGATCTTTTTGCAAGATATTCCAGGAAACAGGAGCGGAGTAGGAGAAGGCCCTTTTGTCTAGTTCAGTCCTCACTGAGGGAACACTGCAGGTAATAATGTCCTGAGAGCGCACGCTGTAGCTGCACTCACGCAGAGACATGTAGGAGGAGATGTATGAAGGCAGCAGACCAAGAAGTGATTTAAAGATGAAAATGTACCAGTGAGAGAGTCTGCGTGAAGTTAATGATGACCAGTTAACCAGTGAGTACTGGGTGCAGTGGTGGGTACGATAATCACAGCCAGTTATGAATCTTAGTGCACCATGATAGACAGCATCCAACATCTGCAGGGTTCTTGTAGGAGCGTTCATGTAAATAATGTCACCGTAATCAATGGAGGGAAGGAAGGTCACAGATACAAGGTGTTTCCTAGCGTTCAGAGTTAGACAGGATCTGTTTCTGAAAAAGAAACCCAGTTTAACTTTCAGTTTCTTTACCAAGTTTTCCACGTGGAGCTTAAAAGGGAGATGCAAATCGACCAAGATACCCAAATATTTATAGGAATCAACAACTCAATGGGGACACCATTTGAGGATAAAATCTGAGGAAGAACTGCTGGGACCAACTTCCTATTTGAAAAAAGCATCCCTTTGGTTTTGTCGGCGTTTAGGACAAGTTTGAGGCGGAACAAATCAGACTGGGTGATGCAGATTGCAAAAGCTGGAAAGCCTTATCAACTGTTTTAGCTCGACAATAAACAACTGTGTCATCAGCATAGAAATGTAACAATGCATCAGGGATGCTCTAACCTACATTACCTATCTAGATGTAAAGAGGGTGGGTCCTAAGACTGAGCCTTGAGGTACACCATTGTTGACTGTTAAATAACTGGAGGAAGTACCATTATGTTGAACACATTGCCTCCGGTCTGAGAGATAGTTAGAGAACCAACCAATGGTGTGTTCTGAGAAACCAATTTCTGAGAGTTTATGACACAAGATGTTATGATCCACAGTGTCAAAAGCTTTAGACAGGTCTAAGAAAAGTGCAGCACAATAATCCTTAGCATCCAATGCTTCAACAACGTCTTTAAGAACCTTCAGTGAAGCAGTGGTTGTGCTGTGTTGTTTCCTGAAACCAGATTGATGTGGAGGTAAGATGTTAAATGAGTCCAGGTAATTTTTGATTTGAGAGTTTATCCGTTTTTCTAGAATCTTGGCTAAAATGCAGAGATTAGAGATTGGACGATAGTTGTTCAGTGAGGTGGGGTCACCTCCCTTCAGCAAAGGAAGAACAAAGGCTGTTTTCCAAGTGTCTGGGATGGAGTTTTGGCTTATGGAGAGATTGAAGATGTGGGTCACAGGGACTGTGATGATATGAGCAGCCAGCCTTAAGAAATAAGGTGGAAGTTCATCTGGACCTGCAGATTTTTTAGAGTCTAGATCTTTTAACAGTTTATTTACCTCACTAACTGAGAACGGGGAAAGAGAAAAGGTTTACTGAAGATTGACTTGTAGGAGAGATATGGTTTGTAGAAGTTTGACTTTTAGGGGAAGTGGCTGATTTTCCATCAGTAACTGTGTCAAATAACGAACTAGAAGCAACAAAATGTTTGTTGAAACAGTTCAGGATCTCGTGCTTATTTGACGCAGGAACAGAGTTAACGAGAAGTTGTGATGGGAGATCAGATGATTGGCAGCTGTCTGAGAGAGATTTGATGGTTTTCCAGAATCTTTTAGGGTCATTTAGATTTTTGGAGGTCTGAAATAAGAAATAGTTTTGTGGCTTTGATGGAAGTTGTGCATTTATTCCTCATCTGTCGAAAACTCAACCAATCAGTGTCTGAGCCAGATTTTCTCGCTACAGCCCAAAGATGATCTTGTTGTCTTGTTGTCTTTACTCAAACTGTTTACTTCAAAGTATGTTTTGTTGTTTAAATATTTGTTCAAAAACTTTTTTATGTCTATATAGTTGTATCAGACTATCTAGACCTCGGGCTTAAACCCTGAACTTGAAGCCAGCCTTCCTCGCAGGCTGGTTTCAAAATAAGCTTTAAGCCCCACCCCCTTCATGTAAACAATCAATTGCTTTTGGTAAAATATGAAAATACAGTATATTGCAAATTATTTGTGCTCATTCACTTAGTTCTTGCCTTGCTTCTGTGTGTTCATAATCCTTTATTTATTTATTTATTTTATTTTTTTTGTACAATGGAAGTTAATAAAGAAACCAGTCACTAGGGAGCACAAGCCTGTGTATCTCTTGTGCCGGTCCAAATCGAGGGTAAATGGTGAGGGTTGTGTCAAGAAGGACGTCTGACATAAAACATTTTTGTCAAAACTATAATGCAAGTTTATCTAAGCAACACCATACTGGCTCGGTTGAGGCCCGAGTTAACAATGACCACCGCTGATGCTGTTGACAAACAGGGTGCCGGTGGAAATTGTGCTACTGTTAGTCGAAGACCACGAGGAGAGAAACGTGTCAGGAGACAGAGGGAGAAGAGAAAAGTCAAGAATGTACCGTTGGTCTGAGGACACATGCAACTCTAAATGTGGGAACAATGACAGGCAAAGGTAGAGAGCTGGCTGACATGATGCAGAGAAGGAAGGTAGATGTTTTATGTGTCCAAGAGACCAAGTGGAAGGGCATCAAGGCTCGCAGCATTGGAGCAGGGTTCAAACTGTTTTATCATGGTGTGGCTAGAAATAGAAACGGAGGAGGGTTGGTCCTAAAGGAGGAGTTGGCAAAGAATGTAGTAGAGGTGAAAAGAGTGCCAGATAGGGTGATGTGTCTGAAGGTAGATCGGAGCAGACCTGCAAGGACATGTTGGTGACGGAAACAGAGGGGATGAGGAAGTGATGGGTAGGTTTGGCGTCAAGGAAAGAAACCAGGAAGGACAGATGGTGGATTGCCAAGAGAATGGAAATGGCTGTAGTCAACACCTATTTCCAAAAGAAAGAGGAACATAGAGTGACCTGTAAGAGTGGAGGAAGAATAACACAGGTAGACTATTCTGTGTAGAAGAGGAAACTTGAGGGAGATTGAGGACTGTAAGGTTGTGGCAGGGAAAAGCGTCGCCAGACTGCATCGGATGGTTGTGTGTAGAATGACTGTTGTTGTGAAGAAGAGAAAAAGAGTAAATGGTGGAAGCTGAGAAAGGTCTAAGTCTAAGGTCTATCTACATATAGCTTCCAAAACTATCTCTGACAAAGAGTTGTGGGAAGCAAAACTTAGACGAGAGGTGACTATGAGCAGCAGTATGGTTTCATGCTGAGAAAGAGCACCACAGATGCCATCTTTGCTCTGAGAATGCTGCTACGTACAGAGAAGGTCAGAAAGAACTCCATTTTGTCTGTGGATTTAGAAAAAGCATATGACAGGGTGCTGAGGGAGGAGGTGTGGTATTGCATGAGGAAATCTGGAATGGCAGAGACATATGTTAGTCTGGTACATACTGGTTATAGTATGTATAAGTATGTTAGACTGGTACATACTGGTTATAGTATGTATAAGTATGTTAGACTGGTACATACTGGTTATAGTATAAGTATGTTAGGCTGGTACAGGACATGTATGAGGACAGCAGGACAGTGGTGAGACGTGCTGTAAGAGTGACAGATAGCTGCAAGGTGGAGGTGGGAGTGCATCAAGGATCTGCTCTGAGTCCCTCCTTGTTTGCTCTGATGATGGACCGACTAACAGAAGAGGTCAGGCAGGAATCCCCGTGGACTATGATGTTTGTAGATGACATTGCGATCTGTGGTGAGAACAGGGAACAGGTGGAGGAGAACTTGGAGAAGTGGAGGTATGCACTTGAAAGAAGAGGAATGAAAGTCAGCTGTAGTAAGACAGAGTACATGTGTGTAAATGAGAGGGAGGTCGGTGGAACAGTGAGGCTACAAGGAGCAGAGGTCACAAATGTGCAGGACTTCAAGCACTTGGGTCCACTGTCCAGGAAAATGGAGAGTGTGGTAAAGAGATGAAAAAGAGAGTCCAGGCAGGATGGAGTGGATGGAGAAAAGTTTCAGGAGTGATTTGTGACAAAAGGTTGTCAGCAAAGATAAAAAGGAAAATTTTACAAGACAGTGGTGAGACCAGTTATGTTGTATGGTCTGGAGACAGAGACATGGACAAAAAGACAGGAGAACAAACTGGAAGTAGCAGAAATGAAGATGTTGAGGTTCTCCTTAGGAGAGACAAGGATGGAGAAGATTAGGAATGAGATCATCAGAGGTACAGCACAGGTTGAACAACTGGGAGATAAAGTTAGAGAGGACAGACTGAGATGGTTTGGACATGTCCAGAGGAGGGACAGTGGTTTGGACATGTCCAGAGGAGGGACATTTGGTATATTGGTGGAAGTTGTTAGAAATGCAGCTGCCAGGAAAAAGCCAAAGAGGAGATATATGGATGCAGTTAGAGAGGACATGGAGGTAGTTGTAGTGAGGACAGAGTGAGATGGAGGAGGATGACTCACTGTGGCGACACCTGAAGAGGGAAAAGTTGAAAGAAGAAGAAGAAGATGATGAAGGAAGTTAATAAAGTTGCTTCGTCCATGTTTTTGTCAATAGGGCCTGCTGGGTTCTAATCCATGTGATGGAAATAATAAAATAACTTTCTAGGTAAGAAAATAAAGTGATATTAGTACATTGTTGTGTTTAATACAAAGAAAGTCTTAAGGGGATGTTCTGCAGTCATCAGAGTTGATAACAGAAGGCTGAAATAATAACGATCACTGAAAAATCACATCATGCTGTTGATTTATTTCATGTTGCTGTGTTCATTCGTGCTCATCTGCTCACACAGACTCATGTTCGTGCTGCTGTTCGGCATATTGTTTTAGTACTACTAGTGCTTAGCGTATTTTTAGTTGATGTTTTTCTTAGTTCATATCTTAGATCTTATTACTGTTTTTTTTTTTTTACATTTTATACTGGCTGGATGTAACTGGGACCCTGTGTACACAATTTTGTTCCACCTCATGTACCACATGTGTGGTGTGTATGACAAATAAAAAAACACTGAATCCTTGAAGCCGCAAGACATGTGTGGAGCTTTAATCTGTCTGTGAGGGTTTATCAGTCAAAACTTTGGCGTCAACAGTAAACGGAGCACAAGGCTGAGACCAGAACCCTGTCTGCACGTTCAAAAGACAAACTTCAACGGCTGCTGAAAATAAACGGATATCAATATTTCTTTTCTGTCACATACTCAACCACAGCACTCGATTCTGTAATAAAATGGTGACAAAAACTCCAAAACATTGATGCATTGATGGACGTTGACACGAGACGGGGCTTCAAACCTGGTTCAGGTTTGAGATGAAAAAGATAGTCCAGGCAGGATGGAGTGGATGGAGAAAAGTTTCAGGAGTGATTTGTGACAAAAAGGTTGTCAGCAAAGATAAAAGGAAAATTTTACAAGACAGTGGTGAGACCAGTTATGTTGTATGGTCTGGAGACAGAGACATGGACAAAAAGACAGGAGAACAAACTGGAAGTAGCAGAAATGAAGAAGTCACAAATAATCCTGAAGCTCCACGTGCACATCAACCTGGACGGGGCGGTGGGCTTCGTCGCTGTCTGCTAAGGTTTTTCTTTAGACAAACTTGGGCTTCTAAAAGATCTCCTTTGTATTTAAGAATAGTTTTTCGTTCAAATGAACATGAAGACGTGAATCAGTTTGACTGAATGCTGAATAATAAGTTCCTAAACATGGAGGGACAATTATGAGGTCTGTAAAACGTCTCTGGCATAATTTTTTCATGATTAAATGTGATCATACACATCAATGGAAGACGTTAGGTCGACAGTAAAGCCTGGGACATCTTTAGATCACGTAAAATGGTAAAGAATAGACTTTATTCTTATTTGATCATGTTTGTCCATATTTATTGGTCATTTTGATGAATGATGAATATAAATACCCCAAATATAATCAAGAGTTCTAGTTTCCTTAAAGACAAATACGTACTGTTTTATACATGTCACTAAAAAGATGTTTACCTGTATCGTTTTCATAAATATTATATTGTTTTTTTATTGTCTATGTTTTAAAATATGTATTTCCTCATATCTAGAACTGAATGTCGTCTGAGCAGCGAGGCAGCAGCTGCCGGCGTGTCCGAGTTAAACCGAACCAACTCAGTGGTTGTAACATCAGAATAAATAAACACGACGTGTTTTTGTCTTATAGCTGGGAGTGACGACGTGTTTTAAAGTCAAACAAGACGCGGCTGCACCTGCTCCACTGAGCCTGTCCCAACTACAACAGAAGGCGAGGACACTTGTGGTCCTTTTCCACGGGCTGCTTCAGAGTCTTCGGCTCGGGTTTTAGGACCAACTGGATCGAGGTTCCAAGCGAGCCGAATCGAGCTGAAGATTTGACGTCAGCAGACTGCAGGCAGGCCAGAGAGAGACGTCAGTTATGAGAGCGTCTCCTTCAAGAATCAAACCCACCTTCTTCTTTTTTAACTTCACAACCCCAGCGTTTGTTTGATTTACTTTATACACATAATACACCAACTAGATAAAATGGAATGGATTTACGGACTTTGACCGGCGGTGGGAAGGTGGCCTCGACTCGGCCTCCGCATCTTTGGAAACCGTGGGAGAGGGTGGTTGCTGTTTAATAACTTTATGCCACTGCTGGTGATTAAACTCGCTTTCAAAGTACAGAAGTCCCTCACTACTTCGCGATTTGACTTTTGTGGTTTATCAACGATTGTCAACTTTAATATTACTCTCGTGATTAGGACGGTGCGGGATAAAAAGTTAAAATTTCTGACCGGCCCCACCATTTTGTAGTTTTCTTTCAATTAGCCTAAACTGTAAGGTCAGTTCAAAGGACTACACTACCCAGAAGGCAACAGTGCTTCCGGCCGCTGCTTTCTGCAAAAACGAAGGGAAAGTTTTGCAACGCAAAGTCAAAAATAACGATAGCTCTATGAAGCTGGCAGGAAAGTCACAAATAATCCTGAAGCTCCACGCGCACATCAACCTGGACGGGGCGGTGGGCTTCGTCGCTGTCTGCAGGACCAGAACCGAGCTGCTGTTCTGCAGAGCTGGTGAGTAAAATTTTGCTGGTACTGTACAGTACATATACATATGTTGTTAAAAGTAAGAGTTTAGAACATTGCAAAAGTGTGGGAAGGGTTTATAAAGCCTTAAAAATAAAATATAGCATTTCTACTTTGCGGTTTTCCACTTATAAGGGGTGGAACGTAAACCCTGTGATAATCGAGGGACTACTGTAACGCCTACGCCTTGCTTTGACGATCCCACTCGTATCGAGAACCCCCTAAACCGTGTAGAACTGGTTAAAGGTGAGAATGAGCAGTGGAAATACTGCATTGGGCTGTAGGATTTACAGTTTGTGTCTATTTCAAATGAGATAATTTAAAATGAACACCAACTAAAATCTCGACTCAGATAAGATTGTCTGATCAGGGAGGGTGGCCCCGCCCCCCCCCCCCCCCCCCCAACTCCCCTTAGTGGCGCCCCTGGCTGAGAGGACGATGAAATTGTTTAATAATAATATATTTTTTTTAAATTGTGTGAATGGAGCCGACACCATGAAATCACACAAAGAGCCGAGAGGCGCTGGAAGGCCCTGAAACACAAATCCTGGAGCCCAAACAGGATCCAACCTGCACGAGCTGAGCAACGTGGAGGCAGCAAGATACCGCTGAGAAGGAAAGAAATGGCCAAACGGGAGGCGGAGGAGGAGGAGGAGGAGGAAGAATGAGTGTTTCCCACATAGATGTATCAATGAACGCACCCATTCTCCATCTGAGGCCCAGAAGAAAGAATAAAAAAAGCTGCGCGCTCCATTCGTCTTTTTAAAAATTATTTTTAAACAAAAGCGCATTTTCCCCTTTCCATTCTCACATCGTATTTTAATTGTTGCAATTATTTTCTCCTGGTTGTCTCCATCCCGCCCCTGCTGCACGGACTCATTAACACACCCCGACATCAGATCTGTTTTTTATGAATGGGACCGGCTCTGCGCATCCTGGATCCACCGGAACACCGACTCGTTTCATTTCACATCAAACACATGAACGTAAAACATCTGATTATGATCATAATAAAAGGAAGGAGTGAGAGGATGGAGAGGAAACGAGAGGATGGGGGAGGGGACCCGGTTGGAAAAGGGAAGAGGAGGAGAGGAGGGGTGAGAATGAGCGAGAGAGGGGAGGAAAAAAAATCACATTTCATTCATAAAGTTTGGCTTTAAAAATCATAATGAAACCCCGAGACACGTTGATAAAAACCACATCCCTCCCTGTTCTCCTGAATGACGCTCCTGCCCCAAACTGCACATATTCCTCCCTTTTTTTCCTCCTCTTTCTTCTCCTCCTCGTGCATTTTTACACACAGACTGGTTGTTTTTAGCAGAATTGTTGCATCTGCTTTAAAACATTTTCATTAGAGCCCTTGGACGAGCCTGCGTGTTTTATTTTTATTTATTTGGATTTGGAGATAAGAAGTGCGGCTCCACATTTCTCACGTCTCGTGGGTTTGTGGGATGTTGGGTGGATGCTGTTGATTCAACACTACGTAATGGTGTTTTTATTCTCGGCAGCCTGCTAAGCTGCACAGCGCCGGCTGGGATCGGGATGGACTGATAATGGTTTCCAGCTCCGTTCTGTTGGAAGGCGGGTTGCTGGATTTTAGATGAAATAATCTGAGCGGATTATTTAAAAAAAAAAAGAAAATGTAGGACTTACTCGCCCTCCATGGCTCGGTGTTGCCCGCCGCTTGCAGCAGCCCACCCCCAGGGTCTCCTCTCCTCTCTCCTCTTTTTTACTCTCCTCCTTTCATGAAACGCTCAGGCTCGCTCACATTCTCCCTCCATCTGCTCTCTTTTGCCTCAATCTTCCTCTCTCCTTCCTCTTCCTCCACCTTGATGTCGTCTCGGTATCAGGATAGGCTTGAGGTTGCAGCAGCCATTTTCCGCTGGCAGCATCCTCCCTCCCTCCCTCCCTCCCTCCCTCATTCCTCCTCTCCCTCTACCTGCCCTCCTCCAGCACATCCGCACTAATCATTGACAGCATCGCGGCTTCAGCTGGGCCACAGAGATGGTCAGAGACCGGATACAGAATCTGAGCTGGGGGTGGGGGGAGCCTGAATGACCTCTAACTGAAGATAAATCCTTACAGAGTTTAAAAATAATTAATATTTTATATAAATTAAATTTTAAACGAATTCACAATGGAAAATACATGGTTGGTAATTATAAAAACTCAATTAATCTAAACCGAAAGGATTTCAGTACCAAGGACAGCTACTCAAAACTGCGCATGCGCACTTTAAATTCTAGTTGCCGGTGATCTTCTAGCCCGTTTGTTCGCCTGTTAGCAAAATATCACGTGATACACTAGACGGATTTTAATAAAACTCTTTCAAAAATGGATGTACATCTACAACTTATTACCTGCCGGAGTCAACACGAGTCAAAATGGCCGATAAAAAGGGCCAAACATAAAAATGGCTAAATTCATTTGCCATTTGTTATTTTACAGATACTGAGCTAAAATTAGATGTGGTAGTAGCTGAAAGTGATCCCCAACACATACTCCAAAGGCTAACGGATCAAACAAGGACTTTCTAGAAATCAAAGATCTCGTGAACTTAACTTTTAGCTATTTTTGTAGCTATAAGTTACTGTTTTGTCTATTTTAGCATTTAACTACAATTTGTCTTATTTTAGCTTTTAGCCACCGTTTTGCTGATCTTAACATTCTTTTCTGTTTTACTGCTTACAGCTTTAAGGTACTGTTTAACTAATGATAATTTTTATGCTGTTTTGCAAGTTACCTTTCAGTTAGTTTTGCTGAAGGACAAACTTTTTTAGCTGTTGTTTTGCTGAAATAACTTTTAAGCTACTGTTTAACCCGTTTTAGATTTTATCTACGGTTTTGCTTGTTCTAGCCACTACTATTCGACTGTTTTGCCACATTTCAAATTTAGCTGCTGTCTTAATTTTTAGCAACTGTTTTGCTAATTTTAGATTTAAGCTACTGATCTGGTACAACTTTTAGCTGTTTAAACTTTAGCTACTGTTTTCCTGATCTGCTTCTGTTTAGATTATTTTGTACAATAGCCCCTCAGTTTGAGCTTCTTCAACAAATTTCAGCCTCTTTCATATCTCAGGCTAGATTTATGCAAAACATATGGTTTCTTAAGCTACAGCTGAGCAGCCCTCCACTTTAACAACTGAAGAGCAGGAAATGCCTGTTGACCCTGAAGTTAAAACCATCTCAGGAAACTCTTGTTAAACCTGACGTTAAAACCATCTGAGCAAATACAGGTTGACCCTGAAGTTAAAACAATCTAGAGAAACTCATGTTAAAACTAGATTTAAAACCATATTAAGAGACCTTTGTTAAACCTGAAGTTTAAACCATCTTAGGAAACACCTGTTGAACCCCAGGTTAAACCATAAAGTAACACCTGTTAAATGTAGATTTAAAATATCTTGATGCATGCTGTTAAAAAAAAAAAAATCTAACGTTAAGTTAGGTCCTCTGGATGGATTAAAAAAAATTAAAATGTGACGAAAGACAAAACATTTCAACAAATTAAAACAAATAAATAAAATCCATTCAGAGGATTTGACTTAACTTTATTAGACTAGATTTAAAACCATATTAAGAAGCACTTGTTTAACCTGAAGCTAAAACCATCTTAGAAAACACCCATTGAACTTGAACTTGAAGTTAAAACCATCCCAGGAAGCACCTGTTGAATATGAGGTTAAAATCATTTGAGGAAATGCCTGATGATCCTGAAGTTAAAACCATTCCTGGATGCGCCTGTTGAACATGAAGTTAAAACTATTCCAGGAAACACTTGTTGATCCTAAAGTTGAAATCATCCAAGGAAACACTTGTTGAACCTGAAATTAAAACCATTTTAAGAAACTCTTGCTAAATCTGAAGTTAAAACCATCTTAGGAAACATCTGTTGAACCTGAGGTTAAAACCAACAAAAATAGCACCTGTTAAACCAAGATTTAAAATATCCTGATGCATGCTCAATAATCCAGGTAAAAAAATATAACAAAGTAAAAAAAAAAAAAAGTAAAAAAAAATATGATAATTGTTGAAATGTTTTGTCTTTTATCCAAAAGACTATCAGTCTGACTAAGTCTTTTGGATAAAAGATGAAACATTTCAACAATTTTTGCTATTTACTTTTTAATTTGTCCAGAGGACCTGATTTAAATGTTAGACCAGATTTAAAACCATATTAAGAAACACTTGTCTAACCTGAAGTTAAAACCATCTTAGAAAACACCAGTTGAATCTGAAGTTAAAACCACCCAAGAAGCACCTGTTGAACATGAAGTTAAAAGCATCCCAGGAAACAACTGTTGAACCTGAATTTAAAATCATCTGGGGACACACTTGTCAACCCTGAAGTTAAAACCATCAGGATGCACCTGTTGAACATGAAGTTAAAACCATCTCGGGAAACTCCTAGTAAACCTGAGGTTAAACAAAACAACATAAAGGAATCCAACAATTTTACATCCCAGGGAGAAAAAGAAACACCAAGCAGGTCTATTTTCAAACAAGTGATCCACAGAATCCCGTTGCCTCAGGCGTCGATTTATTCAAACCATGAGCACATTTTATACTCCGGGTCTTGCAGTGAACTCCAACACAAAAAACAAGGAGGGAGAAGATACTCAACTATAAACTGTTGTTTTTGGGTAGCTTCACTTACTAAACCGCTACGCTCATAAGCTACACATTGTGGCCTCCTTCCCGCCCTCTGGCCAAAGGTATAGGAGCAAAAAACTTGGCTTCAACAACAAGAACCACACTCTCCACTACTACAATCAGCCTTTAAGATTGTCCAGAGCAATTTAAATTGCTTCAAAATGGTTCTAACTGAAGACGAAACCAATTCCATTCAATTCAATTTATTTATTTAGCGCCAAATCACAACAAAGTTGTCTCAGGGCACTGAACAGAAACATTCACATACAAAAGCCAGTTAGTAAAAGTTCTAAGGAAGGAAGCCGGCAGACTCATTGAATCTTCACTAAGTCTCTCATCCTGAGCAAGCACAAAGGCAACAGTGGAAAGGAAAAACTCCTTTTTAACAGAAATAAACCTCCAGCAGAACCAGGCTCAGGACGAGCGGCCATCTGCTTTGACCGGCTGGGTTTGAGAGGACAGGAAGGAGAAACAAACACAGACTGGCAGGTGCAGGTGTAGGTGCAGGTGCAGGTGTAGGTGCAGGTGAACCCGTGGAAGAAATACAAAAACACATGTCAAGGACAAAAAAAAATACAAATACAAAACAAGCAGTAGCAGAATGAAAAAATGTGTTCAGTTTGTCCTCCAGCAGTCTAAGCCTATAGTAGCATAACTAAGGGAAAGCTCAGGAAACCCAAGCCAACTATAGGATTTATCAGAAAGGAAAAACTTAAGCCTAATCTTAAAAATAAACAATGTGTCAGCCTCACAGACACAAACTGGAAGTTGGTTTCACAAGAGAGGAGCATGATAACTGAAAAATCTTCCTCCCATTCTGCTTTTGAAAATTCTAGGAAACACAAGTAAACCTACAGTCTGAGAGCAAAGTGCTCAAAATATGAAACAACAAGATCTGTAATATAAGATGGAACTAGGATGTTGAGAGCTTTGTAGGTTAGAAGTAAGATTTTGAATTCAATTCTGGATTTGACAGGGAGCCAATGGAGAGAAACTAAAACTGGAGAGATATGATCTCTCCCACTAACTCCAGTTAAGACTCTGGCAGCAGCATTTTGGATCAACTGAAGACCATTGAGTGAATCTCAAATGAGTTGAAAAGGATGTCCTGTGGATGCATTCTCATCTACCTGCCAGCTGTGCTCGAGTGCCTGACCACCGAGATCCTGGAACTAGGAGGAAACACGGCTCATGACACTGAAAGGACAGGATCGTCCCTCGGCACCTATCCGCAGTGACGAGGAGCTCGGCAGACTGCTGGGAGGAGTTCTGCCCGGCATTTGGGAGGTCCTACAACCCGAGGGGAACCGAGAGGCCAGCCGAGTCTGAGTGGATGGATCGGACGGCATCTGCAGCCAGTTTATTAGGATCCACTGTGGGATGGACCTTTGCAGGAGATCCTTCCTGTCTACAGTCATCAGTATCTATAACATCTCTTAATTAAATGAGGATTACGAGTTACAACAACAAAAAAATTCCCTCTGGGATTAATAAAGTATTTTTGAATTGAATTGAATTGGCTTTTTAAAGAAGTATGTGGACACCCAGATAAACCATTGCAACAGTCCAGTCTAGACGTGACAAATGCAAGGACCAGTTTTTCTGCATCATTTTTATACGTTTCTAGTTATAGTGATATTACGCAGGTGGAAGAAGACGGTTCTAGTAACGTTTTTAATGTGGGGAATAAAAGACGTGTCCTGATCAAAAAGAACACCGTGATTTTTAACTTTAGAGCTGGAGGACAGATTAATGTCATCCAGAGAAAGACTGCAAGATTTATTCCTAAGATGCCCAGGTCAAAAAACTGAAACCTCTGTCTTGTCTGTGTTCAAAAGCAGAAAATTTAGGATCATCCATCCATCCATTATCTTTACCCGTTTATTCCATTTTGGGTCACGGGGGTTGCTGGTGCCCATGTCCAGCAATCACTGTGTGAGGGGCGGGGTACACCCTGGACGGGTCGCAAGTCCATCACAGGGACACATAGAGACAAACGAGACAAACAACCATTCACTCTCTCACTCACACCTAGGGACAATTTAGAGTTACCAATCTGCCTAACACGCATGTTTTTGGTCTGTGGGAGGAAACCGGAGCACCCGGAGAAAACCCACGCATGCACGGAGAGAACATGTAAACTACACCCAGAAAGGCCCCTGGACCGGGGTTTGAACCAGGGACCTGCTCGCTGAGAGGCAGCAGCTCTACCAGTTGCGCCACCGTGCTGCCCAAAATTTAGAATCATCCAGATTTTTATGTCTTTAAGACATGCTTGTAGTCCTGAGTAACTGATTGGATTAATTGGGTTTCATAGACAAATATAACTGTGTATCATCAGCATAACAGTGCTGATGATACACCAAGCTGCAGGTGTTCTTAACTCAAAGGCTTATGATTTCTAAACACTCCTGTTGAACAGGTTTACTCAGGTTTTATACTCGCTCTCTTCTTAGTGGCACATATCCAACGTCCAGCCACTTCAGAATCAGAGCCTGCCCGTCTTTCAGTGTGAACAAGCGACTTGTTGCCACGTATTCACTTCAATCCAATAACTACTTCCTTTTGTCTAAACCTGTGGTGCAGACGGAGCCAGGAGACATCATTTGAGTTGCAGCTCCGTTGTTCTGAAACCAACTTCAATCTTGTCTAATTTATTCATTATGTTGAACTTTATTTAAGCAAACCCACTGAGATCACAGACCTCTTTCACAAAGGCAGCCTGGGCCTGTAGGCCACTTAAACAAGTTGTTTTTTTATATTTATACGTATTTTAAGAGAACGGACATCAGACTGTAAATGTTTTATATGAACAGATCCTGTTTTAAGGAAGAGGGTTTCATGGTTTTATTTAAATGCTGTCGTTTAATGGAAGTGTTTTGTTGCCAGTTTTGGACAGGACGCATTCAATTTTTATTCTAAGCTTCTCCTGGTAAAATAAAGGAAATAATACAATTTAATAAAAATGGAAAACTACTTTTCTTTGGATCGTCTGGACAATTAACACAGGAGCTCATTTTAAATGTTAATTTGAAAGTTTATTTATTTGCTGTATCAGTTGTTTCGTGTTGGTGAACCAGTGCAACAATAAAGAAGAGAGTGAGGGAGTAGAAAAGAAATGCAGTCACAGAAAAGGTTTATTTTCTGGATTATTTATTGCAGAAAGGAAGTGGAATACAAACCATTCAAGGAGGAAGTTGTGTTACTACGTCGAAAACAAACTTCAATGGACAAATATTTCTGTACCAAGGATAAAACCTTGTGTACAAAAATCTAAATGCCATTTAAAAAATAAAAATAAAATTTGTGACGTTGTGTTGAAAACAGATTAGCGATTGATCCGAATGTAAATAAGACAAAAGGTCAGATGTCTCAAAGTTTTGGTGTAAGGCATCCTAAACAAAATAACTACCGCTGAAATCCTTAAATATTTTCAGAGACCGGCGGCGACTGTAAATCATCTTCACTTTCAGTTCGGTTCTGTGTTTTGAAAATCAAAAACGATGCTAGACAGGAGGACCAGCAGAGGATGAACTGAGGAAAACATGTTTGGAAAATAACTCCTGTAACAAACGGAGTCACGCGTGTTGGACTGGATGGTTCCTGGACCGGCGGTGTGTTTATCCGAGTGCGTCTGTACACGGCTGAGTGTTCCTGGTGGCAGATTACACGATCATTTCCAGCTGTCGTGCGTATTCGATAACCTGCTGCGCCAGCTCCGTGGAGGGAATGGTCACTTCCTCTGTCCTCTGGTGCTGACTGGTGAAAGTGTAACAGCCGTCAGGGTTCTGAGTCCAGCCACGCTGAAATCGAAGAAACACACGGCGCCGGTTATTTGGATGTTTTATTCCCCGTGCGCTAAAATATCAAGGAGGAATCGTGTTTAAAACTTAAGACCTGGGGTGTTCAAAATGTGTTCGGCCACATGGAGTGGTTTGTGCGGCCGTGACTGCACTTTTAAGATTAATATAATTTTGGTTTGTGGCAAACTTAAGGCCCAAATATGGCCCTTCTCCCTATCTGGCCCCCAAAATGAAAGTAAAATATTTTTATTCATTCGCATTTTACTTAAAACTTTATTTAGTTAGCACTGACTTCTCATGACAGTTGGACAACTTTGAAGCCACGAAAAATTAGCTTGAATTTTTCCGTAATCTTTGATTTTAATGTGGGAAAAAAATGACAGAACGTCAAATGAGACGGATGAAACTCTTGTTGAGGAACCTGCAACCAAGGAAAAATGTCCGGTATCTGACTGGAGCTAAAGAATTGACTGAAACTGGCCCTTTGTTTGAAACGAATTCATAGTTTTGGTCCTCGTTTGTAATTTAGTTCGACACCCCTGTGTGTATAGGTTGACGCAAAAGAGCCCCTTACAAAATTTAAGGGTGAAATATTTGAATGTGACTTGTGCAAATGAGGTGAAAATATTGATTTTTGCAACCTGGCTTTTAATTTTAAGACGTCCGGCAACTGAAATAGCATATTATCTTCCTAATCACCTTTAAATCAAACACATTTTTAACAGATTAGTCTTTTGAATTAATCCTTTGTCTTATAATCCTTATAATTCCCTTTGTAACGGAGCATTTTTCTCTGCTAGCTGCTGTAGAACTGGAAAATCCCTTCATATAATGTTTTAATCACTGTTACATTTAGGGCTGTAATTCTAGATGACATCAGTAAAGACCAATGAAAATAAGAGTTTTTAAACCGGCACTCTCATTATTACAACTAGCAGGTTGTCAGGTGATAAATCACCAAAATTCAATAAACTATGAAACATTTTGAAGCTCGAGTGAAAAATCGTTCCTCAATATTGAAGAATTCCTCGTTGTGGCTCTTTTTGTCGGCACGGGTAACAAATTTTTAGATTGAACAGGAAACCAGTGAAAAATAAAAATCTTAAAACGTGCAATATTAAGAACAATACAAGTTTTCCCAACTTCAATTACCCAGTTATGACTTTTATTACCATTTCATAAGAAAAAGGACTACAAACCTTTAATTTTTTAAAAAAAAAAGTAGAATTTGAGTAATTATTCAAAAATCTTTTTGAAGATATAAATTGCTGTTGATTTAATCATCAATCGAGGGAAATGGAACTTTATGGCGTGGGAATAATTTACATCCAGTGTGATCAGCTTTGCTGATGCTCCTTCAAACCTTCTATGAATCAGTTTTAGCCCCCGGGGGTCAGGTTGTTCAGCACCTTTACAACGAGCCATCTACGCTTGTTTGGATCTGGAGAATTTCTGAAAAAAACTCTCAGGTGGGATTCAGTCTGTAAATCAGTTCGTGGGTTCACCACCAGGCCACACACCTTAATAACGCCCGTTTTCAAAGAAAAGTGACTCATATTACGCTTTGGTTTCTGAGAATAGACTAAAACGTTCCTTTCCAAGCACAGGAAAACAAACAGACTAATGGGCATCTAAACTGTCCATAGGTGTACAATGAGTGTGAATATCTGTCTTTGTATCCCTGTGATGGACTTGTGACCTGTCCAGAGTACCCTGCCTCTTGCACAGAGGCTGCTGGATATGGACCCCTCAATGGCCCAGAAAGAAGAAGCAGGTAAATAGATGGATTGGTGGTAAAGGGGCCAAGCACTGTAATATTTCACCCATTTTATTGATAAATTAAACATCATAGCTCGACAACTGATATCTGACAGTTAAATCAAACCTTCAGTGACTCGAGTTTACATCCTGAAGAAGACTCTCACCTTCTTGGCATACTCTGTCATCTTTTTGGGGGTGTTGAAGAAAAGCACCCGGGTTGCTTCACTGAACTGGATCTGCTCGTACGCTTTCTCTATGCAACCTGCAATCTCATCCCTGCAAATACAATTATAAAAAAATTATTTTGGCTTGCTTGTTTTCAAATTGGTCATGTTTATTTTGAGGAGAGGGTTTAAGCTGTCAAATCTTTAATTTGTCTTTACTCTGTGGTCAAAGTGATTCTTACCGAATGGTGTCGAGCAGAATGTCTATAAAGAAGGTGTAACTCGCAGCAGGGATGTTGCCTTTTGCGAGAAATACCTTGTTGTAGCTGCCCTCCATCAAGTACTGAAATGACAAAAAAAAAGAGAAATCAGACCACAGTCTATATTTATAAAAAGTTCATATTAAAAAACATATCTGGGGTGAGATCTTTATTATTTTTGCACGTACAGATTATCACAGGCGATTTAAAATAGCATTTTAGTCTATTCAAGAAAAGTGAGTAGACTAAAAAAAGTTTGTCTACTCATCAACCAGGGACCAAAATCTACATAAAACCTTTGCATTCAGTTGTTTTTGTCTCACTGCGTCTAAATTTTATGCCTTTCCCCCATTGAGAAACTTAAAAACGCTGTTTCACAACTAGAAGTTGTTTTGTTTACAGCACATAGATGACAGTGGACAAAACTTCCCATCCATAACTACAACTTTTAGTATGAAAGGAGATTTTATTGTAAATGGGATGAATTAAATTGTTCTTATTATGGATAATACCAAGTAAAAAGCATAACTCACAGGCTGGCGGAAACCTAAGAGTGCGTTCTTTGACACATTACATCAAGGGTGCTCAATCCTGGTCCTCGAAGGTTAATATTCTGCATTTTACTTGTTTCTCTGCTCTAAAATGCCTGATTCAATCCTTGAATTAGCTCTTCGTGTTCTGAAAAAGCCCGTTAATCACCTATTGATTCAAATCAAGTGTGTTGGAGCAGAGAAACATCTAAAAGTTCCAGGACAGTGGCTCTCAAGGACCAGAATTGGACACCCAAGCGGTATATCATGTAAAAATGCACCCTCTGAATTCTTACACCCTCGTTATTGTTCATTTACAAGGTACCTGACCTGATTATCTTTACAAGAAGTCTGGGAGGAAATGACACAGATAGTTGCAATCCCACATGCAGTCTCTTTGTAACGTGTTAAAACACGTGCACGTATGAAAACAGCTTTTGTAAAATACTTAAAATGCTATGACTTCATGGAAATGAATAAAACTATTTAGGAAATGTAGTGTCAAAATATAAATAAAACGAAAAAGTATTATTTCAGGTAAATGTTAATCTTAATTATTCATGGGCACCACATGAAAAACAGCTGCTAATCAGGTCTCTCTTGTAAATGAGTCCTCGAGGCTCAATGGGATTTAAATGTCTAAATAAAGGTTGAATTAATCTGAGACTACACAACCGTTTCTCCTAAATTTAGAAACCTTAGCTCCTAAACTGAGATAAAGATTACTAAAACTCACAAATGCCATTTTCCCAAGAAAGACCAGTTTAATGTAGAAAAATAATCAACCTAAATTTGAGTTTAGTCCAGTAGTGAAGATGACAGCACCTGTTCTAAGGAAACCGGATGTTTGATGTACACGTTAGTCTGAATATCTCGCGCGCTCAGCCTCTCGAGTTCTGTGTGAAATTCAGACACTCGATTCTGTGAGAGCAGGAAGAGCAGGTTCAGTCCAAGCAACTGGTGCATGTAGGCAGCTTCAGGCAGCTCATTTCTGAATGACAAACGGGGAGGAAAAAAGAATGTTGAAGGCAAATCAGTGAGTATTGGCTGAAAATTTCACATGAAAGAAAATAAAATATAAAGGGACATTACATGTAATCAAAGTAGTAACATTTTAGTTGGGCCATGTATCTTTCAAAAGATGGGATGTCTTTCTTTTGGATGCTCCACAGAGCTCCAATCTCAAGGACATCACCTGAAACAAACATGTTTCCAGTTAGGCATTTATCATTTAATTTAATTTACCGTCCTGCAATCCCCAAATAACACAACGGTGACTCACGAGCTAAAATGAGCTGCTGTTTGGTCATTCCAGATCCGATAGTAGGTAAGAAATTCAGCTCCAGTAATGAAACCTGGACAAACAAGATTTGCAGTTTCAACAAAATTCTGTCCTTAATAATTTGTCACAACATATGCAAATGAACAAAGTATGAGTTATAATGTTTTGACTTAACTAAAATTGTCAACTCAGTGAGCTCTAACAGGGAAATGACTACATTATTTTATGTTTTAATGTTTAAGTTTCTCATTTTTATAAGCAAGCAAATGTTTTAAAGAATTGCAAATCGATGAGCACAAACAACCCACGTGCTTTGGAAGAAAATAATCTAAATAATGTAAAATCAAAGCATTAAAACTTTAATACAGATTTAATAATATTTATGAAGCTTTAACCATTCAGAAGATCTCTGGCCTATTACAGTTTATACCATCACTTTATTTTATTATTTAAAAAAGGGTCGAATAGGATTTAGGAAAAATGTATTGCTTCAGAGAGGGAAGTTGAGTATAAAATTGTTTGTGATACTTTTCAGCTCCAATGTTTGGGTTCATCTGGCACTTGGATTGATTAATGCTAATGACGTTAGCAACAAATAAGTGATTGGTTTTCCTACAGTCATAACAAAAAAACAATATAAAAATGCCGGTAACTCGAACAATAAAACATAGCTGACAGATTAAACTTAAACCAAAACTCGTTACTTTTTTAAAATAATAAACAATCTTTCTAAATTCGACTAGCCTAGCTAGCCTGTTAGCATGTTTAGCTACATTAGCCCTGCTGTTTTAGAAGATATATTAATTCAGTTTGTACAATAAAATTAATAATAACCAAACAAGCAGGTGGCCCACCTTAAGTTTGCTCAGGAGTTCTCCGCATTTGTCCAGGTTCGGTTTGTTTTTGTTCCACTCGGCTTTGAGGGTCTCATATTGTCCCGCAGCTTCTTTCAACGCCATGGTGGTGATTCTGCAAAATGTACGACGCCGGCCAACGATTTACGGCTGTCGTGAAACGCCCGTAAAGCCCTGGTTTCCTCGCGAGACGACGCCAGAGAGTGTTGAACAAGATGGCGGCGTTCGGCAGCGAAAGGTGGCTGGGTGATTTACCGAACCATGCCATTTTCAAAAAAATACGAGAGAAGTTGGATTTGGAGTCGAAGTCAAACGAGAAAGAAGTCGTTAAAAATCTGACGTTTTGTTTGGGCGGGGACTTTTTCGTGTGGGACGACTCGGAAAGCGTGTTTTACACGACCAACCTGCGGCAGCTGAACTCGGAGGAGGAGAGCGAAAGCAGCGGGAAGTTTCAGACCTTGTTGTGCATCAACCCGCCTCTCTTCGACGTGTGCCAGGTGTTTGTGAGCCCGGCGCAGCGCCACGTCGCGCTGGTCGGCCAACGGGGCGTCTCGGTCCTGGAGCTCCCGCAGCGGTGGGGCAGGAGGTCCGAGTTCGAAGGGGGACGGGACCGAATCAACTGCAGAACCATCCCGGTGGCGGAGCGCTTCTTCACCAGCTCCCCGTCGGTGAGTCTGCGGCAGGCGGCGTGGTACCCGAGCGAGACCGACGACCCCCATCTGGTTCTGCTCACATCCGACAACACCATAAGGTTTTACGGCCTGAAGTCGCCCCAGACCCCAGCCAAAGTCCTGTCGGTGTCCCAGTCTGAGGACGACAGCAGCGTCCACCCCCCGGCCCGGTCCTACGCTGCATCTCTCGGGGAAGTAGCTGTAGCTTTTGACTTTGGGCCAAGTTCAGCTCCTCCTCGGCAGCTGGCAGCCCAGCTCTTCAAGGAGCAGCCGGTTTATCCTCTGTACATCCTCTATGAAAACGGGGAGACCTATGTGAGCTACACGGGTCACACAAACGGGTTGAGTTTCAGTAACCCTGCAGGACCCCTCCCCATGTACCCTGCGGCTGAGGACAACTACGGCTATGATGCTTGTGCCATTCTGTGCCTGCCCTGTGTGCCCAGCATCCTGGTGATCGCCACGGAGACGGGGACGCTCTATCACTGCGTGGTTCTGGAGTGTGATGAGGAGGAAGAGTCCGGGGCGGTGGAGAAGTGGATCCGACGCGCCGGGGCTGTTCCGGCTCTGTATGTGTTTGAGTGCGTTGAGCTTGAGCTCACGCTCAAAGTGGCTGCGGACGACGACGAGCCCCAGGAGTTCGACTTCACCTGCCCGATCAGGCTGCACCGAGACCCCCTGTGTCAGCAGCGGTACCACTGCACCCATGAGGCGGGGGTGCACAGCGTGGGGCTGATTTGGGTCAACAAGCTGCAGAGGTTCCTTCAGTCCGGCGAGGAGGACAAGGACAGTCTCCAGGAGCTGGCTGCAGAGAAGCGCTGCATCGTAGAGCACATTCTTTGTACCAGACCGCTGCTGACCAGCTCGTCCGCTCCTGTTCTGGGCTTCTTAATCGTGTCCGACCTCTCTTTGGGTGCCACCATGATCTGCATCACCGCCACCTACGAGTGCATCATGTTGCCCCTGCTGAGCTCCATTCGCCCTCCCTCCCCTCCTCTGCTTTGTTCCCATCCAGGTCCCGGTTCTGGGAGCTCCCCTCTGCGTGGGCTCGCCAACGACTCCTTTGAGCAGCACATCCGCAACATCCTGGCTCGCAGCTCCACCAACCCCGTCGTGCTCAAGGCTGGCGACAAGGACGCCCCGCCGCCACCGCCGGAGTGTCTGCAGCTCCTCAGCAGAGCCACGCAGGTCTTCCGTGAGGAGTACATCCTGAAGCAGGACATGGCCCGCGAAGAGATGCAGAGGAGGGTGAAGCTCCTGAGGGACCAGAAGAACAAGCAGCTGGAGGAGCTGGCTCTGTGCCGGGAGGAGAAGAAGAGCTTAAGAGAGGCGGCGGAAAGGCTGGCCGATAAGTACGAAGACGCCAAGTATCGTCAGGAAACCATCACGAACAGAGTCAAGAAGGTTCTGTGCAGCCTGCAGAGCCAGCTGCCCGTTCTGTCCAACAGCGAGAAGGACATGAAGAAGGAGCTGCAGACCATGAGCGATCAGCTGAAACACCTGGACAACTGCATCAGGCAGGTCAACATGAAGATGGAGTACCAGAAGAAACAAGTGGACAAGGACATGTCTGCAGCCAGGACCACCGTCTCACTGAACGCCCACCAGAAGAAGGTTGTCCAGGACGTCCTCAGAGAGCAGGGACAGCAGATCGGGGACATGATGAAGCAAATCAAAGACGTCAAAAACCACTTCAGCTTCTGAACGTCTCCAAAAACTTTGTTCTCTTCAGTTTATTCTGTTTGTACATTCAGAACATTTTGAACTCAATCAAACCAAGTTTTTGACGTGATTTAACTTTTAGAATTAAAAAAATAAACATTTTCTGTAGCGGTTTGTACTAATTTTATTTACAAGATGATTCAACAAATTCTGGTTTTACGGCGCGTTTATGGTTCCAGTGAATAATTTAAAAAAAACCATTTGTTCTAAAATAATGTTTTTTTAAAGGCTGCCGGTTGTTTCTGTAACTCATTTGGTTTAAAGTCAGTCATCTTCTAATTTACATAATCGATCCGATGAAGTCAAATCACGTTCATCGTTAATTTTTTGTATGAAGACAAAATGTTTATTTACCGTTCACAAATATAAAGTGCTCGCAATTATTGTGCATATTTTCATTTAACAACTAAATTATATTTGATGAAAAGCGTCGAGGTAGATCTGGTCGTTTCATTTGATCTTTGACTTCCTGCCTCCCGTCGTCTTCATCTACTTTGTGTGTAAATGTTTTAAATTAACGTGAATTGTTGGTATTTTAATGTTTCTGAGGACCTCGGTTTGATAAACAGCCACGAAGTCCGGAGCGGGTTTGGTTGAAATTTTACGTAGAAAATCTGACAAACGTGTAAAAATTATAGCTTAAACCAGGGGTGTCCAAAGTACGGCCCGAGGGCCATTTGCGGCCCTTGGAGTGATTTTGTGCGGCCCACAACTGCAGTTTGAATTGTACCATTTTGGTCAGCAGGCTTAAGAAGTTGTTGCAGACTTTCTGTATATTTGTTGATAATCCTTTTTTATATAATGTTTAGATTTAACAGCAAAACAGATGAAAAATAATCTCAATGCGCAATATTAAATAAAATGCATTTTATTTTCACTTCATGGTACAAAGCACCACAAACCTTTACAGACTTGATAATGATGCTTAAAACTTGACTAAATATAACAAGTTGCAGTTGATGTAATAACCAATAGAGGGAAACTGGGCATTTTTAATCTTTGGATGTTGTAGCGACTGACGGATGATTTTTCAGAACTTCCATCAGCCTTTTGGTCCGTCCATGGTCCAAAAGTTTGATCGACCCCCTTTTAAAAGGACATTTATTCTCGTATTACGCTTTTGTTGCTGAGAACAGACAAAAATCAACTTTCCAAACCGACCCAACAAAAATAATTATAAATAAAAATATAAGGTTAGTGTTTAAGAAGCTTTTAATGTTTTTGTATCTACAACAATTTAAAACTCCATAAAAATGAGTAAGCTTTTGTCTTTTTAACTTAATTTACTAATATTTCCACACAAAAACATCGATCAGTTTTTTTAAACATTGATCTCTGAAATCACTTCAGCTGTTTTTAGCTATTGTCTTTAGCTACATTTAGCTACAGCTTTGTATTGTTAGCTTTTAGAAGCTGTTCTGCTAATTTTAGCTTTTTGCTTTGATTTACTAAATTTAGCTTTAAGCTGTAGTTTTGCTATTTTATGCTAATTTTTAGCAAAGGTTTTGATAATTTACTTTGTATAAAGTTTGTAGCAAATTTAGTTCTTTTTACCGTTTTGTTAATTTTACTTTAGCTATAATTTTGCTCATTTTTAGCTTAAATTTAAAATTTTCATTAATAGTTTCTGTTCAGTGCCCTGAGATGACTTCTGATGTGACTTGGTATAAATATATATATATAAATATATATATACAATTGAATTTTAGCAACAGTTTGTTAAAAGTAGCTCATTTCTAATAAAAAGAGTTACAAATTAAACTTGATATTAAAATAGAAGTTGTTTAAAATCGAGGTAAATTCAAAGCAGTACTTGAAATAAAGAGAAACAACTTTACTGCATAATAATAATTAAATTTAAATTAAATTTTACCTTCTTTTTTTAGACCTTTATGTTGATCAGTGAATGTTTATCCTCAGATGTCCAGCTGCTGATTTTACAGACAAAAACGATCATTCTTCACTTCATAACCTCTAAAAAATAAATAAAGTCCCATCTTTTATTGTATGAATTTAAGTGAATAAAATGTGTAGTTTAAAACATTTCAAACAGGTTCTGTGTCCCGCCTGGAGCTGGAAACGAGCAGATGTTCTTCATCCAGCAGATGTCCCTCCTCTTCACAGCAGAAGGCCTTGTTTTCCTCTCGGAGAGGAATTCCCCTCAAAACACGGAGTGACGTATCAGGAGGAGACCCCGGCTTTGTTGAGTAAGCTGCGGGGATCTCGTGCTGGCGGGGTCATCTGATGATCTGGGCCACCCTCTGATGGGTTCCTCAGGATTAGTGACTCACCAGAGTCCAGGTCTGTAACAGGATCTTTGTTCAAACCGCCTTTCAGAGGCCAACTTTGCTCATGTACTCAGAGGGTGTGGCGCCCTGCAGGTTTGCTCCTCACGAGGGGGAATGTTGTTGAAATCTCAAAAGGCTCCAGTGTTTGGATCCTGAGCAAAGTTTGCGGACCCTGGAAAGGAGATATTAATAACTCGAGACCAGCCCACCGCATTCCTCACATGTGAGTCACCGAGGCAGAGAAAAGGCCTGCATCGCCTCTGTTCCTAATTTCTTTCCATGGAGGAGGAGCGGAGCGAGGAGGCGTCGAGGCCTCCCCTTCACTGGGACACTTTTAAAAAGCGTCTAACATGAGACGCCCGTCTCTCTCAGGCCACAGTTTAGACCGAGCAGGCAGGCTGACGAGGCCGCTGGAGCAGAACCGAACCCGGGACGAGAGGGAACACGGTCCAGGGGGGAGGCCTCAGATGGAAAACGGTGGTATGAGGCCTTGGCAGAGGAGCGTGTGAGTCACTGTTTATCTGGTCGGTCACCAGGAGACCAGAAGAGCTCGACAGAACAGACTCAAACCGCTCTCGACTTTTAGTTTTGGAGGAGTTCGCTCTTTTTTTAAAACTGAAAAAGTCGTGTAAAAAAACAAAGTCACTACATCTCACACGAATGACTCTCAGCTACTACCACACCTAATTTTAACCTATGATGCGACTAAATTAAACCCATTTTTGCAATGGCTAATGTCGATTAGCGATGGTGGCCATCTTGAATTATAATAAATAAGTTGCTGATGGTAATTTCCTGAGTTTCATTCAAATCTGTCCAGTGGTTAAATTTAATTAAATTCAAAAGTACTTTATTAATCCCAGAGGGAAATGAAGTGTTGTCGTAGCTCATCATCCTGGTTTCATTCGAGAGTTGTTATAGATGCTGATATCTGTGGGCAGGACTTGATCTCCTGCAGCAAATCTGAAGAATCTGGCCGCAGATACCGACCTGTCCATCCAGCTTGCTGTCAGATCCGGCGGGCCTCTCAGTCCTCCTGGGCTCCCGAAGGCCGGGCAGAGTTCCTCCATGAGCGATGGTCACTCCTCGCAGCAGTCTGCCGAGCTCCTCGTCGCCACGGACAGACAGCTGAAGGTGCTGGGGGATGATCCTGGTCCTCTCGCCATCACGAGCCGAGTTTCCCACCAGCTCCAGGATCTCGGTGGTCAGGCACTCGAGCACCGCCGCCAGTTTGACAGGAATGCATCCACGGCACCTCCTTTTCAACTCATTTTGGGATTTGGGGCTGTAGCTGAGGTATTCAAGCTTTAGAGATGTTAATCAGCTGCTCCTGGTTGTTAAAAAAAAAACCTTGTTGCCACGGTTACGCATCATAACAAATGCCCAAAAGTGAAAAGGTTTCGGTAAAAATCCTTCCAGCTGCACATCATCTGTTACCAGAGGAAACATTCATCCGAAAAAAAGTGATTTCCATCCAGAAACAAGAGGAATTAAAGTTTCCAAAAGCAATTACTCAGAAAGTAACAGAGCGACTCCAACATGCATCCACCCCGAGTGGCGCAGTTCTAGAACCATCTAAAATCATGAGATATTTTACTAACAGACACAGACAGGGTTGATTTTAAATGATTTTAAATTTTGGTCAAGGTTTATAGATGTTTTAAACTACCATGGATAAGAATGTCGACTGCCCATGAACCATATGTTTGAGGTAGCAGAGTACTTTTATCCAACATTAACACTTCATGCTTTTATTTAAAGCTAAATACTGCTCAGTATAAGGTACTTCATGTATACTTTAGTTATGACACTCAGCTACTACCACAGCAAATTTTAGCTCAATATTTGTAGAATTGGCTTTGTTAGCTGTGGCGGCCATCTTGAATTGCATTGACTAACAGTTAATCAGTTGTTTGTTCATCCGATGATTACTTCCTGGGAGTTTCAATAAAATGTGACCATTGATATTTTGCCATCACTGCTCTTTGCCTTCAGCAGTGGCACAGAAAAAGTAGCTAAAAGCGTCAAGAAGTGCAACAAAAACTTCACAGTTAAGGGATTTTATTTCCTTGCAATAAACGTTAACACAATTTGTGGAGAAGTGCACAGTAGTCAGTAATATGTCGTTCAGTCTGGTTAGAGTTCATCTTAACAGGTGAAAAAAAAAACGAGATTTATAAAAATAATACATATAGTTTGCAGCAGATTGTGTGAAAAGCACGAAAGTGAAATTAATTCAGGTTATTGGAGTCGTGCTGCAGAAAAAAGGCTGTAAACAAGCATGAGCTAAGCAGGTCTTTGTTTAAAAAAAACAATAATAATAATAATTAGCACATTCCCTCAAAGCAAATATACTCCAGCATCAATATATCACTGATTATCTGTTTATGGGTTTAATACCATACATTTACTTTCTAATACAAGTTTAAAGCTTCTCGCTCAGACGGTAATCTTCGGCTAGAAGCAGCCGAACACGGGGGCTGCTACGTCTGCAAGAAGCCCCGCTTTTAGTCCCATAAATACAGTTCAGCTGTGCAAGAGGTGAGCTACACAGAACTGTGCAAAAGTTTTAAACCGCCCCACGTCTCTCTTTAACTTGTTACCAAGGAGTCAGGATCAACCGTTCAGAATCTTTGTAGGTTTTTGGACTTTGTTTTCTCTTTCACTCAGTTTCTGTTCAGCCCTTCCTGATTGTAACAGCATGTTGGGCAACGTGGGCTTAAAAAAACAAAAAAAAAGAGGAAAGTAGCCAAAAGACATCTGACTCAGGACTTGCATCGTTCATGTCAAGTTTTCAACCAGCAGCCCTTTGATGCCTCCTGTTGATGCTAAAATGCTTATATTTAATTGTCTTTGGTATTTTGTATAGATTCAACTAAAGCAATAGAAACAAATTGTGCTTTGTTAGAAGCTACGAGAAACAAAGTGCCTAAAGGTTCAATTCAAAACTGGTTTTGTGCAAAGTTGTTTGATATGTGTTGACTCAGCTCTGTCTCTTGAGTTTGGGAGCCTTTGTGTGTCTGAATGGTTCATAAGTCAGAGTTAAGCTGCTTAAATAATAATAAAAAAACAATATTCTGTAAATGGTCAGGCACAAGAACGGCACATGAAGAAAAAAATTCAATAGAAAGTTGGAAAAACTTGCAGAAAACATGGAAACGTGCTGAGCAGGACCAGAGGGGAACTTTCACGCTGGTGTTTTAAACTAAAATCTTCTTTTGATAAGAAATCTTGTGCAATACTGAGAGATCTTGCAAGATCTATTAGCACTGTTGTGTATGACTCGGTCGTTAAAATCTACCGTGGTTCACGAGATATTTTGCTAACTGCTGAGCCAAGATCTTGTGCACTGTCTAAAGCTTATGTGTTGAGGATGATGCTCAGCTACTACCAAACCAGATTTTAGGCCATTATTTGTAACATTAACTGAGTTATAGTCACGCATGCTCTGACTCCTCTGAAGTAAACTCTAAAGAAACAAGGAATGACTCAAGACTTTTGCACAGTGCCGTGCATGTAACATTTTTGTGGGCTGAGAGGATAAAAGCAAAAACAAACAGTAGCATGAAGTGGGCGAGCCGGCGGAGAGGAATCCACTCAGCTGCTGTTTACGCATCGGAGCCCTTCTGCCTGCGTTTGGAGGGGGGGATCAGGCGGGACGGCAGCTCTGGCGGTAGACCATGGCCCTCCAGCTTCACTTCGATCAGATGGCTGGCCAGGGCAAACTCCTCATCATCCAGCATGCCGTCGTGGTCCACGTCGGACAGCTTCCAGATGCGACCCAGCACCGAGTTGGGCAGGCGGGAGCTCACCATCCAGTCCTTGGCCTTGGTGCCGCTCAGCTTCCCCTCGTCGGGGGCGAGGTTGTAGAAGATTTCATCGTATTTGGGCTTGTCTTTGGTCACCACCCAGTCCTCCTCCTCCTGGCTTGCCTCTCCGTTCTCCTCAGCGAAGGGGTCGCCCTCTGTGAAGGGTCCGGCCCGGGTCCCGAGGAAGGCGCCACCCTGCACGCCCGGCTGGTCTCCTGCTTCCAGCTCCTCTTGCCGCAGGAGGGGCATCAGCTTGGCGATGTCGGAGGCGAGCAGCTCATCCAGAGCTGCCATCAGGTTCGGCTTCAACGTCTTGAACTTGGTGAAGTCGTGAACCATCAGCTGTTCCTGTAAAGCATGAACAACAATGTTAGCTTGGGGTTCTGAAACTTGTTGAAGACCCTAATACCAAAAATTTTGAGTAATTACTCGAGTACAAGTGGCCTCACTGGAACACCGCGGCTCAGACTAACCTGCATCTTGGCACAGTCTGGAAAATCTCCAGGAGAGATGTTGTACTGCAGCTGGATCTTGGAGAAGATAACCGGCAGCTGGTAGATCAGATTCTTCTTTTTGTTATCTTTCCTGAAGACTGAAGGCATCTCCTGCTTCAGATAGCTGATGATGTGAGCGTGGACCTGTAGAAAAACACCGGCTGAGTTCCTCAGTTATTCCAAGGAAAAATTGTTAGGATGCTACAACCCTCAGGGTCACCTACCCTGACCAGACGGGCCCTCTTCACCAGGTCGTTGAGCTTCCGTAAAGCTGCGTTGCGAGGGAGGTTCTGAATGTCGGTGAACAGATCCTCCTCCTCCAGCTCAAACAGCTTACGGTTATCAGCAACCATCAGCGGCTCTGACCAGAACGAGCCGATGTACACGCGCAGGACTTCAGGGGTGCCGAACACCTTACCCAGGGACCACATCAGTGCACCGTAGACTCGCATCAGCTGCTGGGTTCCCACCATGTCGGCCTTGTTGAGGACCACGCGCAGCTTGTCCTCGTTGCCTTTCAGGGCCCCGATGGCCTCGGAGAACTCGTCCGATATCTCCAGCTTGTGAGCGTCAAACAGGAGGATGATCCGGTCCACGCGCTCCGCAAACCAGCGCAGCACAGCCGGGAAGTCGTAGCCTGGTGGTTCCAACAGAACACCGTGAGACATCCATCCATTGTCCATCCATCCACCTATAATCCATCCATCCATCCTTCCATCATCCATCCATCATCTATCCATCATCCATCCATCCACCTATCATCCATCCATCCATCCATCCATCCATCCATCCATCCATCCATCCACCCATCCATCCATCATCTATCCATCAATCCTTCCATACATCCATACATCCATTATCTATCCATCCATCCTTCCATACATTCATACATCCATTATCTATCCATCATCTATCCATCATCCATTCATCCACCTATCATCCACCTATCATCCATCCATCCATCCATCCATCCATCCATCCATCCTTCCATCATCCATCCATCATCTATCCATCATCCATCCATCCATCCATCCATCCATCCATCCACCCATCCATCATCTATCCATCCATCCTTCCATACATCCACCCACCCATCATCTATCCATCCATCCATCATCTATCCATCCATCCATTATCTATCCATCATCTATCCATTCTAATCAGATGCTTGAACCACCTAAGCTGACCCCTTTTGACGAGGAGCAGCAGCTCTACTCTGACCTCCTCCTTGGTGACGGAGCTCACTTTATCTGTAAAGCTGAACCCAGCAACCCAACAGAGGAAACTCATTTCAGCTGCTTGTAGTCAGAATTTGTTCTGACCAAAGGTGAGGGCTGAAACAAGACTGGGCCAGTAAATCAACAACTTTGCCGTGATTGGAGCAACTCCCTCATTACTGCAGTCGAGGCCTTGAGTCATCAGGCCGTCTTCAGCTTCAACAGCCATCATTTGTGAACAAAGGTCCCAGGTAAACTCCTTTGCTTGATGCAAAGACTTTACACATACCCAGAAGGAACAGTTCCATTTTTCCGATAGAAAACCAGAAACAAATAAATATAAAATAAATATGATTGAAATAAAACAAGATCAGGAAGAGAAAACCAATCTGTAAATCCCCTGCAGCTGCTGTCTCAAGCATCAAAACGTCCGTTTGTCTTCGTGCAAATAAATATTTACACTAAAAACCACATTTCAGACGTGCGTGAATGTGTTGGTACCTTGCAGCTCATTGGAACAACGCTTCATGTCTTGTAAAATATTGAGTCAGTTAAAACATAATGTTTACCTGCATGCCCTTACTGTGTGATAAACACAAGTTGTAAGAAAAATGATTTATTAAGTTACACTAGAATAATACGGACAGATTTGTTGGTTCCCTTAAGGAGAATATTAATCGTTTCTTTCTTCATTCATGTTTCAAGCTAAGTGTTAGACCTTCAATAGAAACTCAGGAACCTTCGAGCTTGTCATCAGACCTTCAGCTTGTTTGAAGGTAACAAACAACCTCTGGGTCGTTTGGTCCTGTTGTGAGCACCACACTGAACGTGGAGAAGAAAATTCACATTAAAGCAAAGATCATCTCCAAGCAGCTCCATGTTCCTCTGACCACATGACATTATTTAAAAGTGTAAACTTTATGGTACTGTGGTCAACCTCCCAGGACATGGACGCAAGAGGAAATACGACCCCAGGTTGATCAAACAGATTGCGCTGATGGCAGAAAAAGAGCCAAGGAAACCATTCAAGCTGAACTCCAAGGTCAAAGTACATCACTTCCTGGCTGTAGCATCATAGAAGGAAGGTCCCCCCATTGACAGAAAAACACATGAATCCAGACTAGACTATAACATGATGCATGCTGACAAGATTCAAAGTTTTTGGAACCGATGAGACAAAACTGGAGTTGTTTGACTCCAGTCACACAAGTTGTTTTATTGATTATTGTGTGGAAGAGTACCAGCATATTTATGCACATCTGAAAATGTTACCATTCCCATGGTTATAATAATCAAAAAAGTAAATGATCATGTTAAAATAGTTTTTTTAAACTGAACAGTTTTGATGCTGCAGAACTACGTAACACAAAAATGTCCAGAAAAAGTGAAAAATTGCTTCTGGACAGACGAGTTGCTGCAGAATTTAGCCATTTATCATTTCTGTGAGCTCCAGAGACAACGTGCTGTTTACCTCTGCTTTCTGAAGTGGGCAAGAACATTTTTCTGGCACATAACTCAAAACCTGAGCCATAAAATGTAAACTATTTGCAAACTTATCATCAGACTCAAGCAAGGAAACATGTTTTCAATGATTTGGCTGCATTGACTTTTTTTTTTTTTACGAGTGTTAGTTTTTTTGTGCAGATTGAAGTAATAATGAATTACTTGGAGATGGGAGTGTAGAAAATGTTGCGAGATGAAGATGATGGTGGTTGTTTCTCAACAGTGCATTCCTCCTGATGTGCTGACAGAGTTTCTATCTGTTCTTCATTATAAGTTTATGGCTGCTTCGTGTCCTGCTGCCAAGCAGTTATGGTGACAGAACAAACGGGTCTCGTGAGTTAGTCGAGATGAGTTTGTTGGGTGACGATGATGATGATCATGGACCTCTGCTGCACCCCACCCCATGCCCTCTCCTCACCTTTGTCACCCCGCTCACCTCGGCTCACTCTCTGCTTGGCTCCGGACAGGATCCCCGGCGTGTCGATGATGCTGATGCTCTCCAGGACCTGGTTCTGCATCTGGGCACACTGGAATCTGGTTTATCCATCAAGACAGAGGGAAAAGTCACGTTCGCATACCACCCCGGTTCCAAAAAAAAATTGGGACGTTGTGTAAAATGTAAATGAAAATAGTTTGCAAATCTCATAATCCCATATTTTATTCCCAATACAACAGTAAACAAATTATATTTTTAATTTTATGGCAACAACACACCAAATATAACTGTGCATCATCAGCATAACAATGAAAATTTATCCCACGCTGTTTAATAACTTTACCTAAGCATATATAAAGTAAAGAGTATTGGTCCAAGCACTGAACCCTGAGGAACTCCATGACTAACTTTGGCGTATGAAGAAGATTCATTATTTACATTTAGAAACTGGAATATATCAGATATGATTTAAACTGTTTTAGTGCCGTTCCATTAATCCCAATATCATATTCAAGCCACCACAAACAAAGTTGTTTCAGGTCCATAACTTCCATTATGAAGCATCTCCTCCTCTTTTAATAACAACTAGGACCTGAGGAGACCAGCTGTTGGAGCTTTTGGAAGGAATGTTGTCACAAACTTGTCTGACGGAGGATTCTAGTTTTTCAATGATTCTGGGTCTTTTTTGATGGATCAGAGCATTTATTGTTCTAAAACCTGTAGATATATTTTCTGCATTAAAGGAGAGTTTCCAGATGTGTGAGCTTCCCAAGCACACATGCACCCCCATACCAAAAGAGAGGCAGGTTTTTGAAATGTGTGCTGATAATAGACCAGATGGTCCCTCTCCTCTTAAGAACAGAGGACTTGAGTCCGTGGTTTCCAAAAAGAAATTAAAATTTTTAATTAATCTGACTACAGAACAGTTTCCCACTTTGCTTTGGTCCATTGTAAATGAGCTGTGCTCTATTGTCAATAAAATGTGTGTTTTTGAGATTGTGATTTATTGCATTGTTTTTGTTTGTTTTTCACAACTTGCAGAGCGCCTTTTCTTAGAACCGCAATCATTAAAAACAGAAAAACGATGATTAATTTGCGGTTAGCTTTTATTTTTAAAGGTCCAGTGTGATCAAAGGAAGGCTTCAACTTTTTATTTTCTTTCCCCAGATCTCCACCCAGTCCCTCCCACTGTTGGCCCATTGTGTGCAGGTCTGCCTCGCTCTCCTCTGGGCTTCCTGAAGGAAAAATGACCATCACTGCCAGAATCAAACAATAAGATCTGCTAACGATCTGAGGCTTGTAACAACAACACCACTTCCTGCTGTTTAAGTGCTTAACGGGTCCACGGGTCCCCAAAACAGGAAGTCCAACGCAAAAGAAGACGCAAGTACATTCATGAACATGACCCTGATGGAAAAACTTGCATCAGACAGAACCTCTTCTGGTGGCTTTCAGCTTGCCATTGTACAACATCAGACTGTTTTCTCAGTTAGAGTGTGGAAAAATGTGCACAGAAAGCTGGCAGTCCAGAAAATAAACTTCTGATCTGCAAAGCTCCCAAGTCTCCCCTCCCCCGAGGAGCTGTGCAGTCCTTTGACCTTGTGTTTACAATATATTTCTCATCTGAACCCATCCACTTTCATCACCCCCTCTGTTCCCGTCGCTCCCTTTCTCCATTTTTTCCACAAATAAGGCAAGTGACTCCTCACTCTGAAATTTGGCACAAGCGGTTGAAATTCCAAACAGCTAAAACACTTTCCACAAACTTTCCGCTTGCCTCACGCACAGTATGCCCGCTTTGTGCTGTCTTCACACCGACTCCCTGAAAGGGAGACCTTACAAAGCCCTGAGAATGGACCCACCTGTTGAGGAAAGTGTTTCCAAATGGGTTGAGTTTCCGGAAAGGCTTGTTGGGGTCCACAATCAGGGCATTCCCTGGTATGACGCCCTCCACCTCCCCGTGCATGATGGCAGTGAAGCAGTCGGTGGTGGGTTCAGGACCCACACGGCTCCCTGGAATTTCCTGCTCCAGCAAATACCTGTCAGCCACACAGAATTTTTGTGCTTGAATTGAATACAAATGAAGCAGACGACAGGTAAACTGAAGAAACTGAGAAAGTTACTTGATGAACGTGGTCTTTCCGGTGGAGTACTGTCCCACAACCAGCACCATGGGCTTGTTGTCAAAGTCTGCATCCTCCAAACTTGGAGAGTGGAAGTCGTGGAAACCATAATACTGCTCCAGAGGCAGCAGCTTCTTACGGTACAAGGACTTCAGCCCTTCTGTCACAGTGCGAATCACCTCGGGTGCCTTCTTGACATCTTTACGCCCCCAGCGTGACATCTTCAATGGCTAATGAGATAATGGTAAGAAACCACCGTCAGTTGTTTGGATCTGCGTTTCCCATAGGTGTACCAGTGAAAAATGGAGGTTATGAATATAACCAACGTTCCCTGAGGGAGAGAAACGAGGTACAACACAAATGTATGGGGACCTACCATCACGCCCTGACAATGCATATGCAGAAAGATTTAGACAACAAAGTTCTGACAAGCGGGATGATGTTCATCTCTTCTGTGCTGAAAGAACAGCTTGGGTCACGTCACGGGTTGTTACGTCCGAGCAGTAGAATTTTATGGATGTGTGAGGAGATGCCCAGTCGGTGCATATGTCTACCACTGGGATTCCTTTCAGGGGTCTCAAACTCATTTACCAAAAGGAGCCAAACTTTATAAACTTTGTCCGAGCCACGGGCCACTTTCAGCTGAAATATTAACTTGAGTCAGATTCCCTATGTCTTTTCTGGGTTTCAGGTTCATGAACAAGAGTTTGGTGTGTCTCACTTGACTTTCTGTTACTCTTTCCACGTCAGAATCAGTAATGACTGAATGATCCAACCATCTTTCTGGCTTCAAAGTTAGCCAGCTGGTAAGAGAAGTCTATATTAAATGATGTATTTATCAGTTTTTTAAAGAAAAATTTAGAAGAGATACAATATTTTACATTTGAATTATCATCTTGGGGGACCGGATTTGGCCCACAACTCCTGAGTTTGACATATGTGACCCATGACATGGCCATACCTTTGGTTAGAACAGTCATTTCTAACATTTGAAGCCCAAAGCCCGGCCCGACCTAAATTTGGGCCAGGCTGGGCCATAATAATGTGCTGGATGGGCGTGCCGGTGTCGGTGTCTGACTTTTGATTGCGTCAGCGGACGTGTGCGGCTGACGATCTAATTATATGGCAGCATGGCTTGCCATACAACCTATATGGAAAACCATGTTGCTATATATTGGATCATCAGCGGACTCGCGCGGCTGACAATCCAATTATATGGCAACATGGCTTGCCATACCTTCACCAGCCACACGCGGTCATTTGACCGCGAGCTGACCGGCCTTGAAAGAGGTAAAATAAAGTTTAGTTCAGCTTCAGATGGGACTACACTGCCAGGCAGCGATCCATCGCCCAAATGGACATTCAGCCGCTGCACTCAGCGGACGCGCGCGGCCGACGACCAACAGGTGAGATCCCAAAGCAGACATGTCAGAGCAGGGTCCATGTCTGAATAATGCAGAATGCAGGCAGAAGCAAGGTTTTAATGTGCTTTGACGGCCATGAAAGGACAAACACCCCCTCAGCTCCGATCTTCTGCCCCTTTTATTCAGTCGCCAACTGTTAATAATTATATAAGCAGTCAAAGCTTAATTAAAAATTTCGGGGGGGGGGGGCTCGAGTTCAGATCTTTAATTACTGTTAATTCATCAGGTTGGGCGGGGTTTGGAAATGATGGCTACGGGCTGGGGCCGGGTCGGATCAGACTTTTTGGGCCTAAATGCAACTCTACCTCTGGTCGAGTGTGCATGCATGCATGCTGCTGAGTGCATGCTTATCCTTCCGGTTAGGTCTCGCGAGTGTGCAATCCTCAGACATTTGTGTTTTACCGAGTGTACTGACCGAAAGGGAACCTTCAGGTGCTTCCTGTATTTACATGAAAGCTGCTCACTTGTCCTTGAGGCCTCTTCTGTACACAGCAGGAGGAATGATACGGCTTGAAGTTTCTCCCTGAAAGATGTCCCCACAACGGCAACGTTTAGCACCTGAAAATGGATGAAAACAAACAACATAAAAAAAGACGGATAAAAGAGATGCGGAGGGGAAATATCAGGCTAATCAACATGCCAAAATAAATATTTTTATTCCTGGTAGGATCTAGAGTAAAGATGAGGAATCTGAAGACTGCCAAGCATTAAGAGTGCTCGCCTGGAAAAAAGTTGTTGTTCAGGCTGGAAAACCTGCAAACCCAACCCCAGCGTCAGGATTTGCACACGCACAGCTCATTTCCTTACAGTAAAACGAGAAAGACCGTCATTTTACTCCCTGCAGATCGTCTCAGGAGAACATGAGAACCGCTCAAGGAAGAGAAAGACTTTGAGAATGAAGCCTTTAAATAGAACAATGCATTTCATTCTCTGGTAATAATCTTTTTAGTGCAGCTTACATTTGACATCTGGAAAAGCTGGGACGTTGTGTAAAAAGTACATTTAAAACAGAAACCAATAGTTTGCTAATCTAATAAACCCTTATTTTATTCACATTGGAACATAGTATATCAAATGTCTGAAAAAGTTTATTTTATTTAGGGAAAATCAGATTAATTTTAATTTTATGGCAGCAACTCGTCCTAACAAATGGTTCCAGGACCATGTTTCCTGTAGTAAATCATTCTTCTCATCCTCTTGCTGTCCTTGAGTCAAAATGACCCACAAGGCCTCAGTTTTGACCCAAGGGCAGCAGGAGGGTTAACAACAGTCTGCAGGATCTGAGGAAACCAGTTGGAACTTTTGTGTGGAATGTTTTCCTTTTCTTATCTGATGGAGGACTCTACTTGTTTATGTTCTGTTTTTGCTGGATGGCAGCAGATGTTCTAAAACCATATATTATTTTTCCAGATGTGTAAGCCGCTCATGCCAGAAGCACTAATGCACCCCTATACCATCAGAGAGGCAGGCGTTTGAAGCACGCTCTGAGCTCCCCTCGTTAAACAGACCGTCCATGTTTTTCAAGAAGAATTTCACAGAACAGTTCTCCATGTTGACTCGATCCGTTCTGAACGAGCTCTGGTCCGGAGAAGACGGCAGCGGTTCCGGATGGTGTTCACATACGGCTTCTTCTTTGCCTGATAGAGCTTTAATCAGTTTGTGGATGACACTGTGTTTACAGACAATGATCTGTGGAGGTGTTCTCGAGCCCAGAACAGAACCAGACCTGCTTTTAGTGCAGTGGCCCCTGAGGGCCCCAAGATCAGCACCACCCAATATCAACTTTCAGCCGTTTCCACAGAATCTTGAAAACCTTTGATGACATTATGAACTGTAGATCACCGGAGATTCGAAACCTTCATAACTTTGTTTTTTCTATTTGCTAATTTTGTTTGCTTTTCCACAAACTGGTGAACCTCTGCCCATCTTTACTTGTAAAATGCTTTTTATACCCAGTCCTCTTGAACTATTGACAATTCACTTCATTTATTAGAAAATGCTCCTCACGCTGTTTTTTTTATTCCTATCACTCACCTTTACAGCCAAACTGTCTAAAGAGGTTGCTCCCATAAAATTCAAACTTTATTACCAAAATAAAGTACTGCTTCTTCTTTTAAAGATACATTTACTCTGTTCCATTTTGAGTAGTTTTGCCAATCATTGCATTCTTGTTTAATTTACATTTGGCACAACCCTTTGAGAAACGAGGTTTTAGACGTAAACACTGGGTTAGAACTGGAGGCAGAACTCATTAAAGAACCCAGAGGCGAAGAGATCAGATACGTGTCAGTGGGCGATAACTCATGTGTGGAAAACTTCTTTATCAAATCCCATTTGAACTGAGCAAAAGAATAAATCTGCCCTGAGGAGAACAGGGAGCACAGTCCTGACATGTCATAAGACCAGTATGGAAAGTTAAAATGGCGAACTCTGGAGAGACATTAAAAGTTGCCCTCACATACGAGCAGTCTGCTCCAGCTGAACGGAAAGAGTCAAAGCAGATTTAAGGAGACTCCTGTAAAGTTTGGTTAAGACTCTGGGATCTGTTTGCACAGCTGAAAGATGGTGGAAAATACTTTGTGGGTTTCTGCAGCACAGTTCAGGGTTAAACTTGCAACAAAGTTATCGCCTGCTGGAGCAACAAGTTTCTAAACAAATCCTCCTTTTATACCATTAAAATGTCAAGGAATAAACATGTTCCAATTGAAAGTTACCACTTTCATTAATTTGCCAGCCAAGCCACATTCTCATCAAAATCACACATATAATCTAACAAAACTCTTTGTGGATCATTTCTGTGATTGTTCTATATTTAAAGTTTAAAAGGCAGAAATTACCGAGTCGTTGAGCACTTCTGGTCTCCCCCTCTCCACTTTTGTCCTCTGGAGTGGAAAACTCAACAACAAAAGCTGGTCTTGGAGGAGCAGCTGCTGCTGGGTGTACCTCCGGCAGCGAATAGGAGGCCTCTGTGGAGCTGGATGACAGAGGATCCTTCTTCTCCGGGGGTTTAATACATTTCAGATGAGCTTGGATCTGGCGGGGGTCCTCGCTCTGCTGGCTGTCGTTTCTAACGGACCTCCTCTTGCAGCGATGCCTGGCAGCACAGTAACGTTCTGCAGAGGGATGAGCTGAGCAGTGGTCAGAGGGCGTGGACCTGTACCCTGGGGTGTGTCTGTGTGGGGGGTTTGGTTGTGAATAAATAATTTGGGTGGAGTTGCTTTTTTTTTTTTAAACCTTCTGCATATTTCAAGTCATATGATCTCACCCCTTGTTTTCAAACTTTTTTTTTTTCCCCAACTTAATCTGCACCAACATGTCATACACTCACAGACCTCCTGCCTTGACTCCTGCACCTCCTGCTGGCAACCCGACGGAGAACAAACGCCACCACGGCCCGTCATAAAACTGTTAGTCATCTACAGGATCGCACGCCACGGCTACAGAAAAGGACCAGAAGAAAGCTCGACTGTTTCATAAAAGAAGCAAGGTTTAATTTACAGTTTTACTAAATGTACATTTCTTTTTAAAAAGTGTCATTATACACAATAAATACAATACAAAATTAATCTGTAATACTATACTTCAAATTCTCTTTTCCGGTCTTTTTTTGTACATTATTATTGTTCCTTTTTCTCTCCCCGTTTCAATGCTTGTGCTGTGTTTGAATTGTCCACCAGGCCTAAAACATACAGAAAAGAAGATGAAACTAAAGGGAGAAAGCTGAAAAACACACTGAAAACGAGTTCAAACTGCCCTGACCCCTGCTG